ACGAAGGTGAACTCCTGTCCGGGAGCGAGCGATTCCACAGGTCCGTAGGACTGAACAAAACGTTGGTCATCGTAGTTTGCGGGGAGTGGGTCAACACCGGGAACGCTGATATAAGCGTACATTTCCGCATCGGTCGTTGGATCGGTATTTATCGTAATCCGTTTGTGCGCCGTAAAAGGGATTTTTGCCCCAGCATCCTGTGGGTTATCCCCCACATACGCATCCAATACCCGCAAACCGATGTACCCGGGAGCAGAAGCGTTGGAGAACCCGTAAGAGAGGTAACGGTTCGGGTGTGCGTCAGGGTTAAGAGCGTCAGGCGTCTCATCCAACGCAATAAAGTCATCAGCCGAGTAGCTTGCTGTACCTGTCTCATTGCTCGATACATCTACGTCATACCGGAACGCCATAAACACATCTTCAAGCATTTCACCGCCAACGTTTTTGACCTTGTATTCTAGAATAAAGAAAATCGTAGAGCGGTGCATAACTCCACTGAAAGCCGTTGACCTCAATTTCTAAGCCGAGGATCAATCCCTGATTCGCATCCGGGTTCGTATCGCTACATTTGAACATGATCGCTTGGCTTGTCGGCGTTCCTTTTGTAGTCATACCGGGCTTGTTGGAAATCACTTCAGGCACATCGTCGGTGGGCCAAATTTCGCTTGACCTGCCATCTGATGTAGAGACGCCAATCTCTCCACCTTTCTTGGCACCGATCCAGATATCTCCTTCATAGATATAGGAATCATTTGTGCCTGCGGGCCACCATCCTGAAGGGTTAGCGGTCGGGTTGCTGGGGTAGCCGACGACAGCGGTGTTAAAGACCGCAGACGACAGATTGCCTACATCCAGTGCCTTCCAATCCACGGCAGCTATCACCGGCAGGATTGCTATGATCAGTAGCCCAGGGATGAGGGCTGCTAGTAGGGGCAGTGATACGCGTCTGCCCGGTTTCGTGTGTTTCATTTTTCCTCCTAAAAATCGAGGTAGAGAATCTAATCCCCTGACCGATAGGGAACAGGTTAACTTTGTCGTTCTTCAAAAGCACTATGTATCAGATTCGTTAATCTTATTGTAGATATCAGTTCCCATGGAGACCAATTTCTCGCGGATTTCGGTCCAATCGTCCCGGTCTTTTTTGCCTTTGTCAAGAACAGGAAACTTAACTCTTATCTCCGTACTATTGTCTGTATTTTCGTAATCGTAGTCTGATTTGGGAAATAGCACCATAATCTTATCTCTGTGTTCCGGGGACTGAAAGTACAACTGAATATAGCAGTGCTGGCTAATACATCGTAGCCACATTTCTATATCATTGCGTATCCTCTTACACAGCCAACCATAGTTATGGTTAGATTCAGGTTTTCCGGCAAATAGTTTACCTAGTTCACCTTGGAGGATTGGTGCCCAGAATTCTTTGTATTCAAGGTCCGTTTGCCTCTCGGTTTGAATATCTATCGCCGGCCGAACGACCTGATGAAAGGATATCTCTTCATGTACATTGGCTTGTGCTTGAAATTAGATACCAACCAATTTCGCTGTCTTCATTACGCAGACTGCACGTGGTAATCATAAGATCCTCAAAACTCTCAGCTACTAGTGCAGCCACCTTGGCCTTCTTCAGCCGGGCATAGCCTTCAAGTCTGCCCCAGTGATCCCAATTCGCCTTGCCGAACTGATTCTCGACCACGAGCACACCATCCTCTCCGTCAGCGACAATGTCCGCCTTACGTGTGCCAACGTTGGATTCCGTCTCTGTATCTTCAAACTTGCCGACATTGAGTGCATCGAGCGTCTCGGCAAGATCTGCTGAGAAATCTTCTTCCCGTTTGTAGATGGAGGAGAGTGGTATTGATTCTTGAAGTTTCATTTTTCCTCGGGCTAACTTACTACTGAGTACTAAGTCCACAGAAGGTCGAAATTATCTTGATACTGGCAAAATCTTTCTGAAGCACGTACTACCCCACCCCTGAATCCTGTAAGGTTAATGCTATACTTCCCTTTATTTTTTCCACTTTCGATTCTGTGAGGCTACCTCAACAAGTTGCTGAGAGGGGAAAATCCAGTAAGTATTTATGTGCTCACTGTAGAACAGAAAGAAGTATTTTTCTCTAGGGCACGGTATGGTCATTGCGGAGAATAGACCAGCGTCTACCGGCTTGCAATCCCTGGATCTGGACTTAATTTGTACATCAAGATAGTCGCGATCGCCACGCCGAATAACACAATCAATCTGCTGGTCATCCACCAAAGGCATGTAAACATCAAATCCGCGCTGCAGCAACTTCGCTATAGCAATATATTCCTGCCGTTTCCCGAAGGAGGCCCGGCTTCTGTATTGTCCCTGAGTCGTCAAGTAGTGCCTCACTCTTAATGTTGTCTGCCCCCTAAAAATCCAGACTCGCGCCAATCATAACCAAACGTGGCGAATTCCACGAGAGTGGGGTGGAATGCTTTCTGGCGGTAAGCGGGAGACCATATCGGTCGTATGTCACCGGATCAAGCAGATCGTATAGATTTCTCGTGTTGAAGATATTCCGAATATCTGCAAAGAAGGTATACGTCAACCCACCAATCCGGCTTCGCTTGCTAAGTAATGCGTCAAGGTTGTAAGTTGACGGGTAACGTTTTGAGTTCACGTCAGGTTTAATCGGCGCGCTCGGATTTGGTGTGTAGGGCAAACCACTGCCGTATCGACCAATCAGGTTGACGGCACTATCGAAGGGCAATTGAATGTCCAACGTTCCTGAGACAACGTGCCGCTGATCCCAATCTAGGGGGTGGCTTTCGGTCACTTCGGGCTGTGCCCGATAATAGGTCAGGTAGCCCAGATTTCGACTGGAGCCTTTCCCCTTTGCAACGGAGTAGGTATAACTGAGCATCCCAGAAACTGGACTATTCCCCGTGCGCCACTTGCGAACCGTCAGCTCAAAGCCTTGAACCCGTCCGTAGATGTCATTGATGAAATAGCTGTAATCGTTGGTGATGTCAACATGCACGCTACTCACAAGTTTGTCAATATCCTTGGTAAACCCGGTGATGTCAGCCGTTAAGTCATCGGTGAATTGCTGTGCCACTCCGACCTCATAAGCGATAGTTTTCTCCGGCTCCAAGTCGGGATTTCCTCGTCTGCGGATGGCACCCCGCATATCAAAGTTGAGATTTTCATAGAGATCGTCGCCCCGCGGAATCTGGTAGTAATGTCCATACGTGAAGTGCAGCTTCGCCCGATCCGTTACCGGGAACGAAATGCCGAGGCGTGGGGAAAGCATCTGTTTGGTAGAAGCATCAACCGGATCCTTGATGATGGGCAGTCCAACTGTATAGACGCTTTTATCCAACTTAATTGTTCCATCAGGATTGAGTTCAAGCGGATCCAACGGATCTGCGGGTGAGGCCCCGTCTGGATTGTACAGATCATACCGCAATCCTGCATTGACAATCATCCCTGCATACTCCATCTTGTCTTGTAGGTATGCGCTCAGGGAGCTAGGTGCTACATCATAGTACTCCATGTAGAGGTTTGAACTTCCCCAATTGGTTGTACCGAGATTATAAATATCTTGTGCCGTGAAGCCGACACCTGTCTGGATCTGGTGATTTTCCGTGACTTGGCTGGCAAAATCCGCTTTCAGTATTGATGTCGTCGAATTGCGGTCAGTCCAAGAATTGTCGTCGCCTGCAATGTAGTAGGTTGTATCGTTGTATGCTTGTTGGGTTGGGTTTCTAATTCTTCCTTCTGCTTGGTTCTCTTCAAACGATTTTTCAGGATCCCAAGCATTTTCATCAAACGTTTTGTTTAATGGATCCCACAATTTATCCGGTTGATGACTCTCAAAAGAACGGTGGAATTGCCCAAGCGTCAACATGTAGAAGGTGCCGGAGTTGAGGTTATGTGAGAGTTGCACGGAAAGGCCCCGTCCATCCCTGTTCCCCACCGGAATCGCGCTGGGTAAGAAGCGCAGGCTACCGCCATAGGAGGCAGATTCCCGCTGATCGAAAAGCCCACTTGCCGTGAGTTTGATTTGGGGTGTCACTTCAAACTTGAGTTTACCCTGAAAGGTGTATCCCGTCCCATCATTATTGGGCAGATAACTTTCGTCTTGTCGCAACTGGCTAGCGACACGAAAAAGTCAAACGATTCCCCATATCGGTCCGTTGAGCGCGAATTCCCCAATATGGCTCGGGCTCAGATCATACTCTTTCGTATCGTTGAATAGCCCACTGTACTGCTCCAAATCCACAATGTAGCCATCTAACAGCGTCACCTGTTTCTGCTCATAGTCAATAACTGTGCCATCGGTGTCTCGATAGGGTTGGTGCTCCATTATGACTTGGCCTGCGGCATCTACTTGAGGCTCACCTGTGGTAGGGTCGATAACAGGCAGCAGCGGGTTTTCCGTCCTATCCGCATATACACCGGGGGCAATCTCTGAGAAAACAACCTGTGCATCGTCCTCTCGATTTGCCAACTCTTCAACCGTAGTAGCTCCCCTCGATAGGGGGTTTGATAATCGTAGGGTTTACCGAGGAAGATTCCCCGGAAAGGTTCAAGTGCCACCGGTCGGAAGCTGTTGTCTGGATCGAACCACGGACCGTATAACGGATCGCCGTGATGCGTTGCCCATTGACCAACTCGATACCGGATGCGACCAGAAAACTTTTGGCTGCCGGCTTTCGTGATGAGATTAATCACACCGGATTGTGCGTTACCGTGTTCTGCATTGAATCCACCTGTGATGACCTCCATCTGTTCAAGCGCGTTGGTGCTGATATTTATACCTAAACTGCTGCCAATGGGATCATTGACCGGGAGACCGTCAACCAGATATTTAATCTCCATCGAACGACCGCCGCGAATATGGAGTGCGCCGGAGGCGTTATTCACTGTCACACCCGCTTGTGTTTGGAGGATCCCATTCACGGTATCGCGGGGCATAGCGGCAATATCCTCCGCTTCAATAATCCTTGTTGTTTGTGTAACGTCTCGCTTAATTAGCGGTTTGACAGCCCTTACCGTTACCTCTTCGAGCGTGACAACGTCGGCAGCCTTTAGAGCGAAGTTTAAGGTTGTGGTAAGCCCAGCGAAACACCTTCGCGCCCGCCACAGTCTCAGTGCCGTAGCCAGCAAGTTCCGTCTTCACATCATAACCGCCCGGTGGGATATTGATGAGGACATAATAGCCTGCATCGTTTGTCGTTGTGGTGCTGCTTGTCCCCACAATTGTTACTGTGACATCCGCCAGCGGTGCTTTCGTCGCTTCAGCGGTGACTACACCTGAAATCTTCCCGGTGATAGCAGCGGAAGTGTCCCGGATACCCACTAACGCTACGAAAGCTACGATGAGCAGGAAGTAGGGATAGACACTTATACCTGTCCTAATTCTATCAACCTTGTAATACGGTAAATCATGTTCTTTTTTCATTTTTATCCTCACTTTTGTAAACTACTCAAGGCTAGGTATTTCCTCTTCTAACGGTTCAATTGAAAGCTGCCATCCAAGCGCATTCAGAATAGTTCCAAGCGTATCGAGCGTTGGTGTGTTGTCGCTTGATAGCATTTTCGACACAGTTTGTGGTGCGGTATGAATTCGACTGACAAGTTCGTGAATCCCGCCCTGCGCTTCAGCAACGGTTTGTAGTGCTAGCATAAATGCAGCAGTGTCGCCATGGACTTGGTATTCTTCTAGTGCAACTTGAAGATAGCTAATCGCCTTCTCCCGGCCCGCAAATTTTTCGATTAGGTATTCGCGCCATGTTCTCATTTTCTCGCTATTTCGCTTATTATACTTTCACTTATGCGTACTCGTCAAACAATCTGGATATTTTTTTTTGAAGCCATCAACCACGTGATGGCTCTGCCATCGTTTTTCTAAGTTCCCGATGTAATTCAGCGAGATGGGTGTCATTTTCCATCACCTGCTTTAAGTGTACCATCCGCTCTGGACCCGCCGTGCGGATCATCGCTTCGCCGAGGATGTGATCGATCCAGAACCGTGCCTCTTTACCGAATATGTCACGCAATTCCCCAAGTCGCCCCTCGGGGTAACGACAGCAGAAGTTCATTGTGTACATCCGTCGTCGTTCAGTCCCCCCAAACGCAGCGTGCTTGAGGTTTTGGTTGAAGACCACAATATCGCCGGGATTCGTCTCCAGAATGAGTGCCGGGACTTCAGGACCAGACATCCCCCAGATCTGTCCGCTCTCACGGATATCGCGTTCAATGGTGTCGGCATAAGGCTCGCCAACGCGGTGACTGCCGGGGATCACACGAAGTGCACCCGTATCACGGGTGAGCGGATCAAGGTAGAAAGGGATCTTGATATCCATCAGCCGGTTTCCGTTGTATCCGTCGGAGTGCCAATGGGTGTCACTGGGCGTAGAGATTCCCGTCGCCGCTTGTATAGTTAAAGTCATCACCACAAATGCTGGCGGCGATGTCGTGGATGCGCGGATCGTCCAGTAGGGAACTGAGGTACTCACTGAGATCCGGGAACGGGCAGATGCAAGAACGATTCACCCCGTCGTGCAACGCGCCGTTGTGTCCGCCACCGTGGGCATCCCAGACAGCTTCAAACTCGTCAATAATCTTATCAGCGCAGTCAGCCAATAATCCCGGGAAGGACAGGAACCCAAACGTATCAAAGAATGCCATCTGTTGGTCGTTAAGTCGTGTTGACCCCATTGTCGCGTCTCCAATCTCTATTGGCGCATGTTAAGAAATCGTGCAACAGTAACTGTAGGGAACAACGATCGTTGTTCCTTACTGCCAAAAACTCGGTTTCTCTTAGCATTTTGCACTTTCTTTTTCTATCGGAACTCTGTCGACAGCATAACCTCAGCCAAGACCAATTGAGCCATCAACCACGTGACGGCTCTGCCATCGTTTTTCTAAGTTCCTGATGTAATTCAGCAAGGTGGGTGTCGTTCTCCATCACCTGCTCCAAGTGTACCATCCGCTCGGGTCCCGCCGTGCGAATCATCGCTTCGCCGTGGATGCGGTCAATCCAAAACCGCGCCTCGTTGCCCAGTTTATCACGCAGCTCCCCAAGTCGTTCTTCGGGGTAGCGGCGGCAGAAGTTCATCGTGTACATCCGTCGCTGCTCAGAACCGCCAAACGCAGCGTGCTTGAGGTTGTGGTTGAAGACGACAATATCGCCGGGATTCGTTTCCAAAATAAGTGCCGGGACTTCAGGACCGGACATCCCCCAGATCTGTCCACTCTCACGGATATCGCGTTCAATGGTGTCGGCATAAGTCTCACCAACGCGGTGGCTGCCGGGAATGATACGGAGTGCGCCGGTGTCGCGGGTCAGTGGATCGAGGTAGAAAGCGATCTTGATACTCATAGGCCTGTTGCTGTCGTAGCCATCGGAGTGCCAACGGGTGTCCCGGCAGCGTAGAAATTGCCATCGCCGCTTGTGTAGTTAAAGTCATCACCGCAGATGCTAGCGGCAATGTCGTGGATACGCGGGTCATCCAGTATGGAACTGAGGTACTCGCTTAAATCCGGGAACGGGAAGATGCAAGAACGATTTACTCCGTCGTGCAGTGCACCATGGTGTCCGCCACCGTGGGAAGCCCAGATAGTTTCAAATTCGTCGATAATCTTATCGGCGCAGTCAGCCAATAATCCCGGAAAGGACAGGAAGCCAAACGTATCAAAGAATGCCATCTGCTGGTCGTTGAGTCGTGTTGATGTCATGGTCGTGTCTCCAATCTCTACCCCCTGAAATGGGGTTAGCTTATCAAATTTAGTCATATTAAGAAATTGTGCAACAGAAACCGTAGGGGCGGGGTTACCCCGCCCGTGGTTGCTTCATCAATGAACCAATAAACTAATGAACAAATGGTTTTCACGTTTCGCGCTTTTTGCACTGTCTTTTGACATGAGCCTCAAATTTCCGTACCCTCTCCTACCAGTTCTTCGCCCATACGCTTCAGCCCGGCAGTCAGTCCACCATCGACGATGAGGTTTGTCCCTGTGACGAAAGATGCTTGGTCTGATACCAGAAAGAGGGCAGCCGCAGCGATTTCTTCAGGCTTGCCAACCCGCTTGAGCGGATACCATTTCGACAGACGGTTAAAGAGGTCTGGATCTTTTTCAAGCACTGCTGTCCACGCAGGTGTTTGAATAGATCCCGGACAGATTGAATTGGCGCGGACACCGTGCTCTCCGTAGCGGACAGCGATGTTTTGCGTCAGCGAAATAACCCCTGCTTTGGCGGCACTGTATGCCTCCTCGCCGAGCCCGAGCAGCCCGTTCACGGATGCAATGTTGACAATCGCCCCTTTGCGCTGGTCAATCATGTGCGGCAAGACCGCCTTACAGCAGAGGAAGGCACTTGACAAGCATCCGCTGATATTTCTATTCCACAGTTCCTCATCAACGGTGAGAATATCGTCTCCATCGCAGAAGTAGGCATTGTTCACCAAAATATCAACGCCGCCGTAAGCATCAACCGTCTGAGAAACCATCGCTTCGACCTCGGTGGAGGCCGTTACATCGGTATGCGCAAACCGAGCAGTTCCCCCCTCACCTTCGATTGCCGCAACGGTTTCCATTCCAGCAGCGTCGTTGATGTCCGCCACTACGATGCGGGCTCCCTCGGCGGCGAATCGGCGGGCAGTCGCACGACCTATACCCGATCCAGCCCCTGTTATAATCGCTGTTCGATTGACCAATTGCACAGTTTCTGCTCCTTCCTACTGTATAGTTGAGCACGGCTGAACGTGAAATCTTACAACCCTTCCTGCTCGCTGAGTCGCTGCAACAGTTTGCAATAGGCTTTCTGCCCTTGTTCGAAGCTGCTAATCCGGAAAAATTCGTCCGGAGCGTGCGCATTTTCATCTTCTAAAGCGAAAGCGAAGGTCACTGTATAGACACCCAATTTATCTAGGAGCAGGCGGCATACCGGAAGGGTGCCACCGAGTCGGGTGAAGTACGGCGTTTTTCCGTACACCTCCTCGAGCACAGCGTAGGCAGCCTGATTCCCCGGATGATCATCCGGTATTCGGTATGCCGGGGACGGGCGCAGCCTTTGGAGAGGTTGCTATCTCTACCCCCGGAGGCGTATGTTTTTCGATATGTGTGCCGAGTTGTTCCAAGATCTTGTTGGGGTTTTGGTCGGGCACAAGGCGGCAGGTGATTTTGGCGTGGGCTTCACTCGGAATGACAGTTTTGCTGCCCTCCCCTTGAAAACCGCCCCAGATCCCATTCAACTCAAGTGTCGGGCGAACCCATGCCCGTTCGAGTGCTGTATAACCGGGCTCGCCAAAGAGGTGATTCACCCCGAGTTGTTCCTTATACTCTATCTCGTCGTGACCGATAGCGGCAATCTGATCTCGATCCGCAGCAGAGAGTGGGATGACATCGTCGTAGAAGCCCTCAACCAAGACATCGCCCGCTGGACTGCGCATAGAATCCAAGAGACGCACCAAGGCGTGGATCGGGTTTTGGACGGTGCCGCCATAGATGCCGGAGTGCAGATCTACATTGGGACCCTTCACATCAATCTGTAGCGCACACAGTCCCTTGAACCCGACAAGCAGTGAGGGTTGGTCTTCACGCCACTGCAATCCATCGGCACTGACCACCAGATCGCAAGACAGCAATTCTTGATGGGTATCTATAAAGTTTGGGAGATGGCCGCTACCGATCTCCTCCTCACCCTCAAATAAGAATTTCAGGTTGACCGGCAAGTTTCCCTCTGTCTTGAGCATCGCCTCAGTGGCGAGAATAGGGATAAGCATGTTTCCTTTGTCATCTGAGGCACCGCGGGCGTACACCTTCCCATCCCGTACAACTGGTTCAAAGGGTGGGTTAGACCAAAGGTCAACCGGATCAACCGGCTGCGTATCAAAGTGTCCATAGATCAAGATAGTCGGCTTGTCGGGGGCATGCAGCCATTCGCCGTAGACCACCGGAGGCCCACTGGTTGGTAGGATACGTACCTCCTCAATATCGGCGGCGTTCATGCGGTCTGCAACCCATTCGGCGGCTCGTTGAATATCACCGGCGTGCTCAGACAGTGCGGAGATGCTCGGAATCCGTATAAAGTCCAGCATTTCGTCCAAGAAACGAGACTTGTTGTTTTCCAGATAGTTTTTCCCAATTCGCCATAGATTTTTCTATTTCTCCCTTTTTCTGTGGTTCATGTTAAGAAATTGTGCAACAAAAACCGAATTTTTGCCAAAAACCTAGCTCTCTTTGCGTTTCAGTTTTTTTCATGAGCCCGTAGGTCGGGCTTTCTAGCTCGACTGCATCAATGAACCAATGAACAGATGGTTTTCACGTTTCACGTCCCGATAGATCGGGATCCTCGGAACGGGACATCACGTTTCACGCTTCGGTGCCTACTTAGCACCTTCAGCCACAAGGGTCAGTTCCTCTTTGCCGTCGAGTCCGGCGGCGACTGGAAAAGACTTCCGCTCCGGCGTCCCGTTGCGTGGCACATAACGGACTTGCGGCGAAAAGTATGCGTAAAGTGCAGTGTTCCTTGGATTCGGCGACTCGATTCGGTCCGGAACCGTGCGCCATGAGGCTGTGGAAAAAACAGCGCACTCCCCGCAGACAAGGGAACATCAATCTGCTCTGAGAAATCGCGCTCTTCGTGGTCTGTCAAGGATTCATCCTGCTTACGAGCGATATGTCCCCAAGATTGAAGTCCCCATTTGTGGCTCTGTGGGATTACCTTAAAGCATCCGTTTTCAGGCGTAGCGTCGTTGAGTGCAATGCTCACTGTTACCAGCATCGGCGGCTCCATGGGCCAATACGCCGAATCTTGGTGGATGCCGTGCGCGGAACCGTGGAACGCCGGCTTGAACATTAAGGTGCTTCTGAACAGCAGCAGATCGTGACCAATGAGGTTTTGCACAACTTGGATCAGCTTCGGATGGACTGAAAGCCGCCGAAATACCTCCGAATATTGACGGGTGTTTTCAGCCTTTCTTAGTACCGGAAGCCTATCGTCTGCAATATCGCGGGATGCTAACGCCTGCGACTCATCTTTCGCGTAAGGCTCGCGTTGAAAGTGACCATTTTCGCCCTTCGCCTCAAGTTCCGCAGCAAATTTGTGCAGACGCAGAATTTCCGTCTGACATTCCGTCAATTCTTCAGGCGATAGCAAGTTTTCTACTATGAGGTAGCCCTCTTCTTCAAAGAAGGTTTTCTGTTCTTGCAGGGTCATGTCAATCTCCTTGACCGTTTGAGGTTCATTATCGGCGGTGTGATGCACCACCTACAATCTCGGCAAGTCGTTTCACAAGGTGCGCGTTAAAATTGTAGGGAGTACCGTATCCGTGTGCCTCTTGGAATTTTCGACAGATGAACAGATGGCAGCCATCGCAATCGGCTTCGATGAGTAGTGGATGTCCGGCTGAATCGCGTAAGAAGTCAACAACACCAATCTCAAACCCGATCAGATCCGCCAAACGCAGGGCGAATGATACCATCTCCTCATCAAGGGTTTGTAAAAATTCGTAACGCGCTCCCGTTGCAACGTTGATAATTGACTTTTCAGGTGTATCAACGTCCTCCTTCACGCGCATTGTACCCATAACGACGCTACCCCCGACGACATACATGCGATAGACGCGGTCGTTGGTTTGTGCTGTCGTGCCGATGAACCGTTGCACATAGTAAGGCGGTGCAAGCACGAGCGTCTGATCGAGGAGGCGGTTGCGTGCCCCAAAAGCGACCTGATAGGTCTGATCTCGCCGCCGTGTCGTTATCGTTCCTCCCTCACGCCGTAGAATCCGATGTCCCACACCGCCACATAGGTTTGTCGATTTCAATAGAGCGATCCCGTAACGGTCCAACATCTCCACCACTGCATCGGGGGTCTGTGAGATAATCGTTTCAGGTGTTGGCAGGTTGTTTTCGACCATAAGCCGAGAGGTCGCTATTTTATCAATGGCGATCTCCTGCGCTCGTATCGAATTAATAACCAACCGTTCTGCTTCAAGTTGTTTCAACGTATCCTGTTCGTCGCAAGGTAGCACATAAACCAGATCTACGTCCGTCTGATTGAGCGTTGTCCTTGTCAGTCGATAACTCTGTCCGCCGATAAGTCTGATTTCATGCTCAAGCCCCCGAACCAGATCTTCCAATAGAAACCAGTAAGCGGGTTCGTAGAGCAATCCAATTTTCATAACGAATCTAGCGCACGTTTTTGGAGTTCAGCAAACTTCTCAGCGCACGCGGCGCGCGCTGCTTGCAACCCCTCCAAATCGCGCTTGCCGGTCTTCAGGAAGTCAAGCACATAGCCTTCGGCTTCCATATATTCAGCGCACAGACGGGCAACGCTGCCGGCAATATGATTCGGAATTGTTGTTACACCGTTGCAATCCCCATGTATCAAGTCCCCAGGATACACCGTGATCCCGCCGACATGCACCGGGACGTTTATGTCGGTAATTTGGTGGTAGCCGTGAGAGCAGATAGTCCCGTCCGTGAAGGTGGGGAAATTGATCTCCCTTACTTGGTCCAAATCTCGTCCGGTGCCACTCGTGATGAGCCCTGCGCAGCCAAAGGTCTGGTAGGTCATGCACATCACTTCGCCGAAATGTCGCCGCGGCAGACGGGACATCGAGATCTTGGAAGACAACAACGCGGGGTTCAGGAATTGAATCCAGCTGTGCAAGTTGTCCATCCATACCGGCGTAGGTATCCCCCTCACGTGCGGATTACCAGTAGAAAGCGTCGCTGTTGTTGCATAGCCGACCATCGGTGGCATTTCGGGGAAACAGGCTTGGATACGGGCATCCATATAGCCGGTGTTGCGCGGAAGTACATCAAACAGTTCGATAACGTTACAAATTGTGGGCGTATCTGCGACCTTAAGAAGTTCTAACTCTTCAGATGAAACTGTTTGGACTGGATTCATAGTTCCCCCCTTAGGGTTATTGTTAAAATACGGAGTACAAATTCCATCGGAATTTGCGGAAACTGATTATAACACGATTTAATTGCGAAGGTATATATTTTTTTATGATTTGGTGGTTTACGGCTTGATTCGACCGAAAAAATGAACTAATGAACTAGTGCATCAATGAACAAATGGTTTTCACGAATCACGTTTCACGCCCTTAGCATTTTGCACTTTCTTTTTATATGAACCTATATTTCTATCTCTCAAAGGGGTGAAACGTTTGTTTCTTTTAGAAACATCTGTTTCTTCCGCCCCGGACCTTGAGTTTGAAGGGGTTTGCGAGGTATTTGCCTCAAAATTGGCTTTCCATCCGTTTCACCCCTTTCTGCCCCTTTACCCGGCTCCGTTCCATACAACTGATGACATCTACATAGAGTTAATGTAACTCTGTGAAGCGCGCAAAGGAGGCAATGAGGAAGCGAGACAGAGCCGTTTCTCGCGTACTTATCTCCAATGCGGCACGGGACTAAAAAGCCTCATGCATTCCCCTCACACATTTTGGCAGACATTTTGCACATAACGTAACAGATGCAATTGAGAAAAATAGATTGAAAAGGAGAAACTATGTTAAGTCCAGCCATTCAGGAAGCATTGAACAAACAGATTAACCATGAATTTTACTCCTCCTACTTTTATCTTTCGGTGTCAGGCTATTTTGAGTCGCTTAATTTGCAAGGTTTCTCGCATTGGATGCGGTTGCAAAGTCAGGAAGAGAGAGAACACGGGATGAGGTTGTTAGACCATCTCCACGATAGGAACGGACATGCGACCTTTGAAGCGATTGCTCAACCGCCTATAGAATTTCAGTCCCCGGTAGAAGCCTTCCAGCAGGCTTTGCAGCATGAGGACTATGTAACGCAGACTATCAATCGGTTCTACGAGTTGGCGCTGCAAGAGAAGGACTACGCAATGCAGGTAGAGTTACAGTGGTTTGTTTCAGAGCAGGTCGAAGAGGAAAAGCAAGCCCGTCAGATACTGGATCAGCTGAAAAGGCTTGGCGATCAGGGGACGGCTCTGTACCTGTTGGACAAGGAATTAGGCGAACGCGAGAACGACGACTGAACGTGAAGTCGGTGTTCTTTCAAGCTAGGAACTATCAGACAACACAGGGAGAATTATGGAGACTTTAACACAAGCTCTCAGTCAGGAAGCACTTCTTGGTACGAGAACTGATGAAGTTTATAGAGCGGAGTCCTATGAGATTGAGGCGCAATTTGAGACATACGAACGACACAATGAGTGTACGCCTGTAGAGTCCAACCTCAATCCGCTGTCCAACCGAGTTCTTTGCCTGTAACGGTCTATATGGAAAACATGGCAAAAGAACATATCCTCGTTGTTGATGACGAACAAAACATGCGTAACACCCTCGCATTCATTCTGGAAACAGCAAGTTATCAGGTTACGACCGCAGCGGAGGGTCGAGCGGCTTTGGAGGGGATATTGGCGGCACGAGAGAGTGATCGTCCGGTAGATCTGCTCATCACGGATATTCGACTACCCGGCTTAACTGGACTTCAATTGATTGATGAACTGAATTACCTGAAAATAAAAATCCCTGTTTTGGTCATCACTGCGTATGGGGACCGGTCGCTGCTCCTTGAACTGATGCGCACCGGTTGTGCGGACTACCTTGACAAACCCTTTGATTACAAAGAACTTGTCAGGCGTGTTGATTCACTCATGGAAAAAAGATGAACTCGGTGAGAGACATCAATAAAAATAAGGAGGAAATTGATATGCTTTGGGGTGAAGCGTCTTTAAGGCTAAAACTCAACGGTTTTGAGGATGGATTAAACCACACAATAGATCGACTAACCTATGAGATCCTTCAGGAGTATCGCGAAGGGGCTGATGCTGCACATCAGTTGATGGAACCCCCAATGTGGGGAACCTTTGATGATACAGGGATTCCATTCTTCAGTCCGGGGCATGAACCGGACGAAATTGCATAGATAAACGTGGCTTCAACGTCTACTGTCACTTTGAGGCAAAGATAGAGGGATTAAATAGTAACGTGGAACATCAGTATTAAAAGAAATGCAAGGTTTAATACAATCTAGATGCTGTATCTATCGCGTATCAACAGTATATAAAGGAGGGAAATACCATGGCAGTCATTACCATTTCCAGAGAATACTACAGTCGCGGCACACAGATTGCCCGGCAAGTTGCCCAAGACTTGGGAATATAGCTATTTTGATAAGGATATTCTTACCGAGGTGGCACGCGCCGCTAACACAACCGCCAAACAGATCAGCCACTATGACGAGAAATGCGAGAATGGGCTGAAGGGCTTCCTCAAGAAACTCTTTGTCCCGGAGTTCTCACGATACCTTGATTTTCCTTACTACTACTACCCATCCGAATTTCTGATGGATAGCTATCCTGTTGAGAGGGATACAGCCTTTGAGGAAGATCTGATTCCGACCGAGACGGAGGTATTGGGATTCTTCCAGCATGTCATCGAAAAGCTGTGGAAACTGGACAATGTTATCATTGTCGGACGTGGCGGCCAGATGATTCTCGCTGATAGACCAAATACACTTCACGTGCGCTTCGTTGCACCTGTTGCAGACCGTATTGAACGGGTCATGGATGAACAAGGGATTGTTTATCCCTTAGCTGAGAGAGAGATTGAAGCTGTCGATAAACAACACGCTCAATATATCAGACATTGCTATGATGCCGATTGGGCGGAGGTAAAGCACTATGACCTCGTATTAAATACCGGATCAATGAGCGACGAACAGGCGGCAAAAATCATCATCGCCGCTATCCGTAGTCAGGAAGCTGAAGCGCAAAGTGGTAAAGGCGTGGAGACATGGAAGGAGACGAATCCAAGCGCACTTCCCTCTTTTATCTCCCACACTCCCCCGAGCATACTCCGGGATCATCCAAGACATTGGGGTTAACGGTGCGGGCTAATGCTTTAGTTAATCCTATTGGGGGGAGGTAACTATGGCAGCCTATCAAAACCTGTTCATGTTTGTCGCCGGTTTTACCCTCATCGCGTTGGCTTCAAAACAGATTGGACAGCTTTTCACCAGATTTAAACTCCCCTTGATTAGTGGCTTTCTCTTTGCCGGCATAATCGCAGGGCCCTTTATATTCGATTTCATTTCAGTAGAGGCGACCAAGCGGTTACGCTTTGTGGATGAGCTCTCCTTGGCATTTATCGCCTTTGTTGCTGGAAGTGAATTGTACTTAAAGGAGCTGAGAAGCCGATTTAAGAGTATTAAATTGGTAAGTATTGGCATTGTCATCAGCACCTTCATGTTGGGCAGCTTGACCGTTTTTGCGTTAGCGGATTTTATGCCGTTTACGCGGGGACTTCCAGTTGCAAGCCGAATTGCCATCGCTATTCTCGCCGGTGCGATTTTAGTCGCACGGTCTCCATCCTCCGCCGTTGCGATTATAAAGGAACTTCGTGCCAAAGGTCCATTTACGCAAACGGTTATGGGCGTCACTGTCGTTATGGATGTCCTTGTCATCATCTTGTTCTCTGTCAATTCCTCTATCGCGGATGCCCTCTTAACCGGCCTCCAGTTTAATCTGACTTTCATCATTTTGCTATTCGTTGAGTTGACGGCGGCAGTGGCAGGGGGATATGTCGTTGGAAAAATTTTACAACGAATTCTGTCAAGCCGAATCAATCATACCGTAAAGATAGGTGGCATCTTACTGACGGGCTATGCGGTGTTTGCCGTATTCGCTGGGATTCGCCATTTCACCCATGACAGGTTGCCCTTTGAAGTGTTTGTAGAGCCCTTACTCGTTTGTATGATTGGGAGTTTCTGGCTGATTAACAGAACCGACTTTCGCGATGAGTTCCTGAAAATACTCCACGAAGTTGGACCGCTGATTTATATTGCCTTTTTCACACTGACCGGTGCTTCACTCACTTTGGATATTTTGGCAGACATTTGGCCAATTACGTTACTGTTGGTTGCGGTCCGTTTGGGGGGAATATTCATCGGTTCTTTTACCGGCGGCGTGTTGGCTGGAGACCCGATGACCTACAACAAAGTCAGTTGGATGGCTTATATCACGCAGGCTGGCGTGGGATTGGGACTGGCTAAAGAGGTCGGAGGGACATTTCCGGCGTGGGGTCCGGCTTTCGCCACGCTGATGATTTCCATCATCGTGGTAAATCAGGTTGTCGGACCTGCCTTTTTTAAGGGGGCACTCGTTTGGCTAAAAGAGGCGCGTCCTCGTGCCAAGAAATCCGAGCCGGATCAGATACACAGTGCCATCATCTTTGGGGCTGACAGCCAATCACTGGCACTCGCTCGGCAGTTGCGAGCGCATAACTGGGAGGTAAAGGTCGCATACAGGCAAACGGGCGAGATAAAAAATGTGGCAAGTTCGTATTTTGACGTTCAGCCGATGCCCGGTTTTTCGTTGAACGAACTACAAGCGTTTGGCGTAGGCGAAGCCGGTGCCGTTGTCACGATGCTTTCTGACGAAGATAATTACCGTATCTGTGAACTCGCCTATGAGCATTTTGGAACGGATAACCTCGTTGTGCGGTTGAACGATTTAGCCAATTATGATCGTTTCCGTGAACTGGGTGCCTTTACTGTCAGACCTTCTACCGCAATCATTAGTCTACTGGACCATTTCGTGCGGGCGCCATCATCAGTTTCACTGCTGCTTGGGATGGAAGAGAACCACGATATTATCGATTTGGAGGTTCGTAATCCCAATCTGGCGGGTATGGCGGTGCGAGATTTGCACTTGCCATCGGATGCATTAATCCTGTCAGTTCGCCGCGCTGGGCATATTATAATCACACACGGTTATACAGATCTACAAATTGGTGATTGGGTGACGGTCGTTGGCTCACTAGATAGTCTGGAAGCGTTGGAGTTGCGATTTGATGAACACTTACCATCGTCCCGCACCACCTATCCCCTACGACGCGACTTGGCTCTCGAAAAGGATGCAGCAGGGTAAAACCCCATGAAGGAAAAGCTGAAAGTAAATCCGTCCAAGGTTTCGGTTTCGTTCTTTAAGCAACGTAACGGTGCGATTGGCGGCACCCGATATGTCGCTGGAGATTATCTAGGGCAATCAACCACGCGCCATTGCCAATACCCAAGCAGGAAATCAATCATCTCTCCAGCTATTGTAAAAACTCTATTGGATTTAGTATACGAACCACTCATTATTGGTGCGTTTATCATCGCGGTGTGTATCGTTGGTAGTGTTTATGTTTTGAGTCAATGGTACTACGCGGATTTTGATCCTGAGCCGATTCCCACGGAAATTCCTGTATCAAAGTTGACAGAATCTCCCGCGCTGTTGGTTAGCATGGATCTTTCGAGGCTATCGTCTTCAGATGCCGAATCGGATTGGGAAGCTGCGATGGCGGCTAAACCCACCCAAACGGAATCGGAAACGGAGCCGTATGAACTCACACCGGAGGATGAGGCACTTCTCCTAGAGCATTTCGCCGAAACTTTGCCAGATCCTCCGCGTGAATCTCCACATGGGTTGGGTCCCTATCCCGATATTCCGCCGGATTATCCACGGCAAAACGTGTGGGAACGGCTTGAGCGATCGTATTACAATGGTTATGCCAATATCAGCCATGAACTTATTAATCGAGTCCTCATCAAGTATTGGAATCAAGGAAAAAAAACTGGTGCCGGTGTCCATAAGGGAGCTAACGGTAGGGTATACCCACTCTTCAAAGATACCGTCTACGTTAAATGGTCCGAGGTGGAACTTGAGGATGGAAGCCGGGAGACATATTTGGGAAGTTACCTTTGCCATGGCTCTCTGGCAGACTATGAGGAGTCGGTAGAGAATGGAACTCAACCGAGTTGGATGAAAGTCGTTCTCTATGAAGATGGAGGAGTTGACCCGTATTCGTTTCTCGATTTGCCTTGAACTGTTTCTCTGAGATTATTCCGTTGAGACTCCGGCATTGAATAGTTTTCAGCTGCTTAAAATTACCACTACTGTCTTATGCACCATCGACAAATAAAATCTCTATCGAAAGAAGGTGAATTAGCTGTGACTTTAGCAGAAACCTTTGATTTATGCCAAGAGATTGAACTGAGGCATGCAAAGCTATACGCGACGACTATCTGTCCGATTGGGCGATGTTGATGAACGAGTCGCTCGATTTTGGCAGGAAATGAGCGCAGAGGAATGGCAACACCATCTCCTTGTTAGTTTTGGACGCTCGCTCTGTGCCCAGACTTTCGGACTAGATGTACCTGCCCCTCAGTTTGCTGATTTATCTATCGAACGGATTAACGAGACATTGAGTGAGTATGAAGAGCGTGTGCGTGCAAAGCAGGTCACTCTCAACGACGCATTTGAGATTGCCATCGCGCTTGAGACCGGTGAGTCTGATGCAATCTATGCAGAGTTGGTTTCGACCATCAAGGACGCAATTTATCAGAGCGATCGACCCTATCTTTTGAACCGTATCTCCCAGATGGAAAAGGATATGCACGATCACGTGAATCATCTAATTGATGCCGCCAAAAGGTTTTCTATTAATCCAGATCTGGTGCGAAAAGCATACCGCTTGACAGATCCCGATACCTCTCCATTAAATTAACACGTTCCACCCAACCGCATTGGTTCATTAATGAACTGCTGAACCAATGTACTTTTGAACACCCCATCAAACAATCTGTCCTCGACGTTTTCCGTCAACTCCAGAAAAATGTCCTCTAAACTCAGATCCATCGCTGTATGGCTCTGACGTAGCTCATCCATCGTTCCCACCGCAACGAGTTTGCCGTCATTAATGATACCAATCCGATCACACACCCGCTCTGCAATCTCAAGAATGTGCGTGGTCATGAACACCGTACACCCACGGTCACAGCACGCACGTAAGAGTTCCTTTGCGATACGAGCACTTTTGGGATCAAGACCGCTTGTCGGTTCATCGAGAAACAGGACACGCGGCTCATGTACCAACACCCCTATCAAAAGAATCTTCTTCTGCATACCGTAGGAATAGCTTTTGATCAGTGCGTCTCCGGTGTCGATGAGGTCAAACGCCTCCAGCAATTCTTCCATCCGCCGCTCTGACCGTTTCGGGTCAATTTCATAGAGATCTGCAATGAAGCGGACAAACTGCCTCCCTGTCAATGTTTCATAAAGGTGTGGTGTATCGGGCATCAGTCCCGTTATCGCTTTCACCTGCGATGCCTGCGCCCGGACATCATAGCCGCAAACTCGTCGCTGTGCCGGCGGTTGGACGGATTAAGCCGGTCAGCATGTTGATGGTTGTGGTCTTTCCTGCACCGTTGGGACCCAAGAAGCCGAAAAGTTCACCTGCTTCGACCTGCATGGTCAGGCTATCCACGGCGGCGAGTTTGCCGAAACGTTTGGTCAAATCTTTTGTTGTAATCATTTCTGAAGAAAGGGGCTCCGAAGTCGTTGTTAGTTCCACGTTTTACACTTCACGTATTATATCATACCACCAAAGAAATTCAACGGAAATGGGGTTGACAGAAGCTACTCGCAATGCTATCCTATCTACACAAACTACACAGATTTCTTGAACCCACAGGAGGTTTACAATGGCACACACAGTTTTACTCGACCCAATCGCTCCAAACGACGTATCCGACAAATTTCTCGCACCGCGCCTTGACAACCTCAACGGTAAGGTGATGGGCTTGCTGAACATCAGCAAAAACGGCAGCGACATCTTCCTTGACCGTGTCGAAGAACTCATGCGTGAGCGTTTTGACCTCGTAGATGTCGTTCGCGTAACAAAACCAACCTTTGGGCGTCCCGCACCGCAAGAGCTAATCACGGAACTCGCCGATCGGTGCGACTTCGTGGTTGAAGGGCTCGCGGACTGAGGTTCCTGTATATCGTGCAGTGTGCACGACGGAACCGCTTTAGAAGAACGTGGCATCCCCAGCGTATCGATCTGCTCGGATGTGTTTTTCGCTGCCGGAGAAGTTCAAGCGAAATCCCTCGGTTATCGCGAGTTCCATCCGACTACCGTTGACCACCCAATCCAAAGTCTCACACCCGATCAAATCCGCGGTCGTGCGGATGGTATCGTTGAAAAGATTACTGCCGTACTGACGAAATCTGCATAAGAGCAAACCATTTCTTACAGATTGGGGCAAGGAGTGTGCACATCCATGAACGTCATCTTTATAATGAACGATACCTTTCGCAGGGACCACTTGGGGTGTTACGGTAACGCTTGGATTCAAACGCCCAATCTGGATGGGTTTGCCCAGCGCGCAGCTGTGTTTGAGCAATTCTATGCCGCTTCCTATCCGACAGTGCCCAATCGGTGGGACTTAGCGACTGGACGTTTCGGCTTCCCGTTTCGCGGGTGGCAGCCCCTGAGCCCTGGAGATATGACTTGGGGGCAGATCCTGTCCGCAAACAGTGTGCATACCCAAATGATCTGGGATACCCCAATGCTTGCGATGCACGATTATAACTACACGCGCGGTTTTGGGGGACTCGGTTTTGTGCATAGCCAGAAAGGCGATCCATGGATAACTGATCCCACTCTCGACATTCAGCTAGGGGCGCAGCCCCATAAAATCCGCAACATCCCCGGACTGCAAGGTTACCTCCGCAACCACGCCGCCCGCCAGTTTGATCGTGAATTCTGCATTGGACGCGGGATGTCGGAGGCGATGGACTGGCTGGAAACTAACTACAACCAAGAGTCGTTTTTCCTCTATATTGATATGTGGGATCCCCATGAGCCGTTCGACTGCCCTTGGTACGATTACGCGCTGTATGCTGACCCCGACTACGATGGAGATCAGATGTTGTACCCGGAATACGGCCGCCCAACATATATGACTGAGGCGGAGGCGGCACATCTCCGGGCACTCTATGCCGGCAACGTTACGTTGACGGATCGGTGGGTGGGCGCATTTCTGGATCTGGCAGAACGGTTGGGACTCTTCAAAAATACGCTCATCATCTGGGCTTCTGACCACGGACACCTATTCGGAGACCACGACCTGCAAGGCAAACCGGGAGCGGAGCTTGGCAAACTCTACGAAGTCACCATCCGAATTCCCCTCTTGATTCATCACCCCGAGGGATTGGGAGCAGGCGAGCGAGTTCGCGGTATTGTCCAACCCCCTGACATCTTGCCTTCAATCTTGGATTTCCTTGGAATCTCGACACCATCGCACATCCAAGGAGCATCCTTCCTACCCTTGATGACAGGGGACGCGGCAAAGATACGCGATTACGCCTTTTCAAGTCGATTCCCGCCCAGCGCGGGGACAACCGGCTATACGCCGGTGGAGGGTGCCGCTTTCGACGGTTGGGTCGGCTCCGACCGAAACGTTGAACCCAGCACCATCACCGATGACGAGTGGGCTTACCTGTGCGCACCGCAAGGGATGCCTTCCGAACTTTATAACCTGAAAACTGACCCCGACCAGAAACATAACGTCGTTGATGCCCATCCCGATGTGGCTGAACGGATGCGCAACGCTTGGATTGAGTTTCTGACGAATCACGGTGCCCCCGAAACCCGCATTCGCCCCTTCCAAGATGCAAACGTTGAGGTTCACACGCCGACGAGCGGGACGGTGTACGCCTTCCGAGACGATCAGGTCAATGGATCGCTTTCCCCACTGAGGGACAGGCGCGACGTTCTGCGTATCAAGACGATGCGCCGGGACCGAAGCGGGAGATTCAAAAGATAACCTTCGGCGATCTGCTCGCTGACAATCCGAAAAATCTGATTCATCTATATGGGCAGTATTATTGGGCGCAAGACCTAGCTTGATAACCGCTCACGCCGTTAAAAAATAGGGAGTCGCCAAACTGTGACAGAACCACAAACCTTAGAGAACACGTCAATTGAGATAGTTCGCAAGATTGAGCGAGCAAATATTCAGCACGCTCTGTTTGATTTCGACGGAACGATTTCGCTAGTTCGGGACGGTTGGCAGAGTGTCATGGTGCCCATGATGGTTGACGTGCTGCTCAAAGAAACGCAGACCGATGAAACGCCGGAGGAGTTAGAACGGATTGTTGTTGAATTTGTGGATAACCTGACCGGCAAGCAGACCATTTATCAGATGATCCAACTGTGCGAAGAAATTAAGAAGCGGGGTGGGGTTCCGAAACAACCGTTGGAATACAAAGATCTGTATAACAGCCTGCTCCTGCCAACCGTGGATGAACGTATCGCTAAGTTGGAAAGGGGAGAGATTGAAGCTGCGAATCTGCGTGTGCCGATGTCGCTTGAGTTCCTACAGTCCTTGCAGAACGTGGTATGAAACGCTACCTCGCTAGCGGCACCGATGTTGAATTTGTTCGGCATGAGGCAGAGTTGCTGGGTGCTGCCTCCTACTTTGACGGGGGGATCTTCGGGGCATTGCGGGAATATCAAAACTTCTCGAAGGAGATGGTAATTCAGCAGATTCTCGATGACTTCAACCTGACCGGAAGCCAGCTTCTAGTGGTTGGTGACGGTTCGGTGGAGATCGAAAATGCGAAGGCGGTCGGCGCAATCGCCGTGGGCGTGACATCCGTGGAGAACAACCGCTACCAGATGAACGCGGACAAACGGGGCAGGCTGCTCCAGGCCGGTGCGGATATTCTGATTCCCGACTTTCAGGACGGGGATCGGCTATTGACCTATCTTTTTGACAGCTAACCAGCAACATACCCAATGCTTTAACTTTGGGTATTCAACTGCGTAGATCCTACTTATTGGGGAGTGCGCACAATGTTTCGCGGTGGAATATGTTAGTGATAGGACTTACGCAGTTGGTTCATAAGTCCCCCTGATAAGGGGGATTTAGGGGGTTAAAAGTAAAAAATCTCGCGCCGTGTACTGAATTTGCGTAAGTCCTGAGCGATTTTATTTGTTTGATACCTTGTTTTGGAATGCTGACTTTTATCAATCCCAAGGGATAAAAGAACGATTTGAAAACAGAGGAGGAAAGACAGATGCAACGAAGATGCAATCTCGCATATTCCCTTTTAGGCTAACGTTATAGTCTTGGGTCTAACGCCGTTGATGGTAGTGGTTGATGCACAGGCACAGATTGTCTTCATGTCTGATAGGGATTGGAACGATTGGCAGTGGGAGATCTACGTGATGGATACCGATGGGGACAATCAGCGAAACCTGACTAACACCCCTGGTGATGACGAGTATCCCTCATGGTCTCCTGACGGGAAACAGATTGTCTTTACAGCTGATAGGAGTGGTAAGGATTGGAACCGGCAAATCTACGTGATGGATGCCGATGGGAGTAATCAGCGAAACCTTTCTGACAATGACTTTGATGACTGGGACCCCGCATGGTCTCCCGATGGCAAACGGATTGCCTTCGCGTCTCAGAGGAATGCGCCCACTGAAATCTACGTGATGAATGCCGATGGTAGCAAACCAAAAAACCTCACCAATCTTCGCTTACCCGACTATGGTCCCTCATGGTCACCGGACGGAAGGCACATTGCTTTTTATTCTTGGAGGGACGGGAACATGGAAGTCTATGTGATGGACGCCGATGGGGGTAACCCTAAAAACCTCACCAACAATGCGAGGTCTGATACGAACCCCTCATGGTCACCGGACGGTAAGCGCATTGCCTTTGAGTCCTGGAGGGATAGGAACGGTGAAATCTATGTAATGGATGCCGATGGGAGTAATCCGCGAAATCTCACCAATCATCCGTTTAAGGATTGGGAACCCTCCTGGTCCCCTGACGGGAGGCGGATTGTCTTCGTATCTGATAGAGAGGTGGATGGAAACCCTGAAATCTACGTGATGGACGCCGATGGGGGTAACCCTAAAAACCTCACCAGTCATCCCGAGGATGACCTTGCTCCTGCATGGTTTGGTCCTGCTTTTTCGGTTGCTCCCGCCGGTAAGACCCTCACGCTATGGGGACAGGTCAAACAGGCAGACCGATGAGGAATAATGCGTAATACGTAAGGATTAAGAATCCGTCCGTGCCCCGATTTCATCCCCGATAAAATCGGGATAGCCTAGTCCGTACCGAGATCGGGGCGAGACTAGGTGTGACCGGAGATGCCCGATCTACATGCTAAGGGTCAATTTTATCGCACGTTACATCACTAACCACTTACATTTAAGGACAAAAAGACGGTTTGAGAACAGAGGAGGCATAGCAGATGCGACGAAGATGCAATCTCGGACATTTGATTTTGGTTGTCGTTGTAGTGTTGGGTCTGACACCGCTGATGATAGTCGTTGACGCGCAGGGACAGATTGCCTTCGTGTCTGGTAGAAGTGGGAACCCTGAAATCTACGTGATGGACGCCGATGGAGGCAATCTGCGAAGACTCACCGATAATTCCGATCGGGACTTCTCTCCCGCATGGTCCCCCGACGGTAAACGGATTGCCTTCATATCTGAGAGGGATGGGCACCCTCGCCGTGTCCCCGGTTGGTTTGCTTCTGAAATCTACGTGATGGATGCCGATGGGGGGAATCAGCAAAACCTCACTAATAATCCCGCTAATGACAGATCTCCCTCGTGGTCACCCGATGGCAAACGAATTGCCTTCCATTCAAATAGGGAGGGGCGCTTTAACTATGAAATCTACGTGATGGACGCCGATGGGGGTAATCTTCAAAGACTCACGGAAAATCCCAATCTGGACGAGGATCCCGCATGGTCACCGGATGGTGAACGGATTGTCTTCTCGTCTGCGAGGGAGGGGCACGTTGTACACAACTTGGACATCACTGATGAAATCTACGTGATGGACGCCGATGGTGGTAATCAACGAAGACTCACTGACAATCGGAATAGTGACTGGTCTCCCTCCTGGTCCCCTGACGGTAAACGGATTGCCTTCATGTCTGATAGGAAGGGAGACCATATAAAATTTGAAATCTACGTGATGGACGCCGATGGGGGTAATCAACATAAACTTACCAATCACCGCACTTGGGACGGGTCTCCGTCATGGTCCCCCGACAGTCAACGTATTGTCTTCAATTCTAATAGGGATGGGAAGAGTGAAATCTACGTGATGGATGCCGATGGAGGTAATCTTCAAAACCTCACCAATCATCCGCATAGTGATTATGGTCCTGCATGGTTGAACACTCCTTTTTCGGTTTCTCCCGCCGGCAAAAGGTTTACAACGTGGGGTTGGCTTAAACGGGTTGACCAGTAACTGCCATTATTGAGAAGGCTCATGTAAAAAGAAAGTGCAAAATGCGAAGCGAAATCGTAGGGGCCGGGTCTCCCCGCCGTAGAGACGAGGTTCTCTCGACCAACGGATTGGGTAACTCAACCCTTACAAAAAATCGGTTTCTGTTGCACGCTTTCTTAACATCAGCGGGAAATTTTTACGCATTACGCATTATTCTTCTGTTGTGTGATGACGTTCGCCGTTTCCCGTGCGACGATAATCTCCTCATCTGCTGGTACGACGAGAATCTTCGCCCGGCTATCGACGACAGAGATTTCGCCTTCGCCGGTGTGACTTTCATTCCTTTCTGGATCTAACAAGATACCCTGCCATTCCAATCCATCGCAGATTGCCGCACGTGCGGTTGAACTCTTTTCGCCGATCCCACCGGTGAACGCAATCACGTCCACCCCACCGAGCGCGGCGATGTAGGCACCGATGTGCTTCTTGACTTGATAGAAGAAGGTGTCCATCGCTAGTCGCGCATTATCGTTGCCTTCCATGCTGCTGCTTCGACATCGCGCAAATCGCCGCTGACGCCTGAGATTCCTCGCAACCCCGATTCCTCGATCAGTTGGCGACGAATTTCTTCTGTATCCCACCCCTCCGCATCCATCAAGTAAAGCACCGCAAACGGGTCCAGATCGCCGCTTCGGGACGATTGGATGGGACCGTATTGCGGCGAAACCCCCATCGTCGTATCAATTGACTGACCGTTGCGGATAGCACACAACGATGAGCTCCCACCAAGATGACAGGAAATAATCCGCAGATTCGCCGGTGGATCACCGAGCAGTTGGGGGACTCGCTCTGAGATGTAGCGATGTGATGCACCGTGGAAGCCGTAGCGACGGATATGATGCTTCTCAACCCACTCCCGCGGGACGCCAAATTCAGAGGCGTAGTCGGGCATCGTTTGGTGGAACCATGTCTCAAAAACGGCGACCAATGGTGTGCTCGGAAGTCGCTCCTGAAAGGCGCGGATTGAGGCGATGTAAGCGGGATTGTGGGTAGGGGCGAATGGAATATCGGCTTCGAGAGCGTCAATTACTTTGTTTGTTATCAACGCGGAACGCCAAATCCCTCTGGCGAGAATGGTCTTAAAGCCTACCCCCACGAGGTCGCTGAGATCCGCCATTACCCCTGTTTCTGGAGCAGTGATCAGATCTATTGCGTGTACAATCGCAGCATTATGGTTTGGTGCGTCGATTTCGCCATTTACGCTTGGTTTGCCGGGAACGGCGTGTGTGAACGGTGATGGAGAATTGCCGACCCGCTCAACGCCGCCTGCGACTAGCGACGCTGATGTTTGGACATCAATGATTTGGTATTTGAATGAAGTGCTGCCAACATTGGCACAGAGTATAAGCATGATAGATGTTGAGAGATTCCAATCCTCATTTTTCGGGTGTTTTCTGCAAAAAACTACGCGCCCAAATTCTCATACCACTTGACGTTCCCTGTGCTCAAACCCCCTGCGACGATGTCCACTCGTCCGTCGTCGTTCAAGTCAAGCACGTGCATGTTACCGACTCCCAAGCCACCGTCGTCGATAAGTTCTTTCGTCCACCGGTTTTGATCAAGATTTCTCAGGGCGATAGAGTTGAAGGTTCCAGCCCTCACCGTTATACCCGGAGATAATCTCCACCCGACCATCGCCATCGACATCAATTCCGTGCAGCGAGTGTCCACGATTCAGCGTGTCATCGATCTGGTGTCGTGTCCATTTGCCTGTCCGCAAATCACCCGACGCTTTGTACCACGATAGTGTGTTCCCGTGCCACGGTTCAATGGATAAGATTTCGTTGACCCCATCTCCATCCAGATCGACCGTGAAAACCTCGCTGCTTTCTTGGTCACTAATCACCCATCGGCTCCACTCACCTGTTAACGGGTCCGATGGGGGTTCAAGCCAAATGACCCCGTCCCTGCAGCCAATCAGAATATCGAGCCTGCCATCCCCATCCACATCGCCAATACTCAACCCGTGATTGAGATGCAGCTCACCGTCAATTAAGCGGCGTTCCCAAGGTCCATTGACTGGATCATTTGGGAGCGGATAACACCAAAGACTGCCCGGATCGTACCAATCATCTAACCCGCCTTCAGGTCCCTGAATTGATGCGGCGAACAGCAGGGGTTGACCATCGCCGTTGATGTCAGCAACCGCGATACGATGCAGGTATGGGATCTCTTCGATGAAGTGGCTCTTCCACTGCCCACCATCCGCGGGGGCTTCGAGCCAATGTAGATATTCAATGAGAGAACGGTCGCCTCGATTAAACGCGCTCCCAACAAACAGATCCGGTACACCATTTCCTGTCAGATCCTGAGCGGCGATGGTAATATTGCCGGGGTGCTGGTCTGAGATTAGATGTCTTTTCCAATCAGGTGCTTCGTACCAGACAATGACGGACTCACCAGTCGAGCCCATGACGATATCCTTCTTTCCGTCGCCGTTCATATCGGCGACTTCCAGTCCATAAACGCTTCTGATCGTATCATCAACAAGATGTTCTTTGAATTGCATGATTTTCACCTAAAATTTTGGGAGCGAGAACTCTCTATCATCTGGCATACTGAGCCCTTCCATCATGACTCGCGTATACCGATTGAACTTGCTGTAGAAGCGGCGAACTTCCGGGTCGGGGTGATCTCGCCACAGATTCGGCGGCATCAGCGTCACTTCGCTCAGGGAACGGCGATTAGGATGCCCATAGTAGACCTGAATTGTGCGGCGCACCTTATCAGTATTCCGTAGCGTGACACCGTGCAAGGTGGCGCAGTTGAAAAGGATTGCCGAACCTGCTGTGCCATGAAAATGGAGAATACCACCGCGTTCAAGGTGTGCTTCTTTGTCGTCGAGGATTGCTCCACCGGCAGGCTCCGGGCTGATAGAAAAACAGTGGGTAGTCTCGTTTACGTCGTTCAGGTAGTAGATAACCTGTGGATAATCGAGATTCAGGGGATGTTCGGGCCAATAGCCACGATCTCTGTGCCACCCTGTGTCATGTGCTTCATCCTCGCTACCACGGTGGCGTACAGCGAGTTCCTCAAAGCAGATGGGTCCACCCATCAATTTGCCGATAAGCGGGAGTAGCCTTTCATGGCTGATGGTCATTTCAAAGGCAGGCTCAGTCAACAGGAGATTGCAGTTGTAGTTCGGTGAGGTCCCGGAAAACCACATGAAAGGGTTTGTTTCCCGATCTCGGTCGATGGCGTCATTAAGGGTGTCGACTTCATCGGGCGAAAGTAGATCTGGAAGAATAACATAACCGTGGGCTTTGAAGCATTGGATCTGTGCTTCAATGTCGTCCGGATCCGCGATGACGGGGTCAACGAGTTTGGGCATAGTTTTTATACCTCCGATGTTCGGTTGCGAGTTGCAATTTTCTGTTTGATGCAGGGGGCTGGTGCCCAACGCCTTCTGCCTTCCTTTGGTTAGATGGGCTTTTTGCGCTTGACACGCGCCGACTTTTCCACTACCCTTAATGCAGATTGGTGACGTCAGCCGACTGGAACTGCATCTACCGGTATTATATCACAGAACCTCTGAAGTGAGTGTCAATTTTTTAAGAATTCCATAACGAATCGGCTCTTATGCGTGGAAGGGTTTGCCATAAACTAAGGAGATTTAAGCGATGGACAAAGTCAACGTTTGTCTAGTCGGCACAGGCTGGACAGGTACGAACCATTTTAACGGTTACAAAGCGATTCCTGAGAAAGCGACTGTTGCCGCTGTGGTAGCACATTCTGACGCTTCAAAGGCGAAAGCGGAAACGTGGGGCGTTCCGAAAATCTATCGTTCATTCGACGAAGCGTTGAGGGATGACGAAATTGACGCATTTAATCTGTGCACACCGCACTACCTTCACGCAGAACAACTGCTTGCGTGCTTGCAGGCAGGGAAGCATGTCCTTGGTGAGACGCCTGCGTGCCTCACCATTGAGGAGTGCCGAGCACTTCGCATCGCCATGTTTGAGCATCCGAACCAGAAAGCTGCCACGGGGCATATCTGCCGCTCTTGGCCCACCTTTGCCCATGCGAAAGAGGTTGTCTCCGGCGGGAACCTCGGCGATGTGTTCTACCTTTCGTCTAACTACGCACATAAGCCGGATCCGGGTGAATATCCAAGCCGTCTGACATGGGGACGTAGCCCACGGGCGCAGATGCGGTTGGGTATCGCCTATCACTCCGTAGACCTGTTGCGCTGGGTTGCTGGCGATATTGAGGAGGTATCCGGCGATTATACGGAACATGCGCGACTCGCAATCCTAAAATTCAAGAATGGTGCGATGGGCAAGGTATTTACCAGCGCAGCGGTGGTGCGTCCATACATTATGTCGCTTTCCGTCTATGGGCACGAAGGGACAATTGTCTGTTGGTGGGAGGAAGAGGTGCTGCACGGCTATCTGCACAAATCAGCCGAATGGAATCCAGAGCGATTGACAACGACACCGCTACACGGTCGTGGCTCCCCTGAATGGGCATACGAGATGGAGAACTTTGTGGATAGCATTTTGCAAGATACACCTCTGGCTTGTCCGTTGTCGGAAGGGGTTGCAACGGTTGAAACCTGTTTAGCCATTGAAGCAGCGATGACACATAATGCGAAAGTTAAAGTGGGCACTTAAATGCAATCAACAGTTTTAGTGAGATAAGGTCGGTAAAAGCCGAAATAATGAAACCCACATCGATAACAAAATGGATTTTCAGCCTCATATCTCTGATCTGGATTCAAAGCACAATCGCCGCAGAAACACTCCCTCAATTTGTCGATATCACAAGGGAGGCAGGGATCGATTTTGTCCACAACACCGGTGCGTTTGGCAAAAAATACCTTCCCGAAGAGATAGCTTCTGGCTGTGCGTTTATTGACTACGATAACGATGGGTGGCAGGATATTCTGTTGGTGAACGGTAAAGATTGGCAAGGGCATCCAACCGGAAGGCGGCAAACGATGGGTCTCTATCGGAACAACCAAGACGGAACGTTCACAGATGTCACAGAAACTGCCGGACTTGCCGTGGAGTTGTACGGACTCGGCGTTGCCGTTGCTGACTACGATAACGACGGCGATGCGGATCTGTATATAAGCTGCTTGGGGGCTGATCGGTTATTCCAGAATCAGGGGGATGGAACCTTTGTTGACGCAACGGAACCGGTGGGAATTGATAACCCCGGTTTAGGGACAAGCTGCGCTTGGCTGGATTACGATAGGGATGGCAATCTTGATCTCTTTGTCGCCAATTACGTGGAATGGACCCCTGAGACCAATCTTTTCTGCACGTTGGACGGTGTGAATCAGTCGTACTGCGGTCCCAGATCGTATCAAGGGCAAGCGAGCAAGCTATTCAGGAATCGTGGGAATGGGACGTTCACCGATGTTTCGCGGATTGCCCTGATCGAAGACTCGACTAGCAAATCGCTCGGTGTCTGCGTATTTGACTACAACGAAGATGGTTTTCCCGACATCTTCGAGGCGAATGACACACAACCGAATAAGCTCTATCAGAACAACGGGGACGGGACCTTTATCGAAAGAGGGATGCTCGCCGGCATCGCTTACGATGAAAGAGGTGTAGCGCGGGGGGCGATGGGAATTGACGCTGGGGACTATGATGGCAATGGTCGGGAAAGCCTTGTAATCGGTAATTTCTCCAATGAGATGATGAATCTTTATCATAACGAAGGGGAGTTTTTTATTGATGATGCCCCTATCGCCAACATCGGATATTCTAGCTTGCTAACGTTGACATTTGGCTGTTTCTTCTTCGATTTCGACCTAGATGGAAAACTCGATATTTTCGCAGCCAATGGACATCATTGAAAACGACATCAACGCCGTGCAGAGCGAAGTAACTTATGCACAACCGCCACATCTGTTCCACAACATCGGTAACGGTCAGTTTGAAGATGTTGCGCCAAAAGTTGGCTCAGATCTCCAGAAACCGATTGTTGGACGCGGAGCGGCGTACGGGGACATCGATAATGATGGCGATTGGGATGTACTGGTGAATGCTTCCAATGCGGCAGCCCGTCTATACCGTAACGATGGTGGGAATCGAAACAATTGGATTAAGCTGAAACTGATCGGGACCAAGAGCAATCGGAGTGGAATCGGCGCGAAGATTACCGTACAGTGCCAAATCCGGTACGCAGACACGCACGCTGAAAAGTGGGGTAAGCTACTGTTCGCAGAGCGAACTCACGGCTATCTTCGGAGTTGGAGATGACCCCCCAAATCGATTCAATTACGGTCAGTGGGACAGTGGGGACGCCGATCAGCTTGTTAACGTGAAACCGAATCAGTCCCTTACGGTTACTCAAACTCCCCACGAACCGTCAACGCACTTGCCACAGAAATAAAATCCCGTCCCTCTTCGACCCGATCGTTATTGTAGCTCAAGCCGAGAGTCATATCAGCAGTGAGGCGCTCGCTCAATCTATATCCAACGCCGCAGAGACGTTTCATATCGCTCAGACCGTTCTTCCCGATTTGCCCCGAATCGTTCACGACGGATAACTGTTGAGAGGGTGTTACTGAGGTCTAAGTCGTGCTCGAGGGGAATCTTGCCGATGAAGGGAAGGCGGATTCCGCCTTCTATTCGCACCCGGTAATCAATACTAACGTTAGGTGTAACAATGAACGAAGCCGTATCAATCCCGCTTCGTTCCCCGTTGCGTTGCGTCAGGCGGATACCAAATGCGGTTTTTGTCGTCTCTTCCCATGTATGACTCCAACTAACCGAGGGTTCGTGGGCGGTGCTCTGACCAATCTGGGTATTGATATTGCTCTGATCTCGTAGCGTATAACCGTATCTCAGCTGAAGGCTTGATGTATTTTTTGAGTTGAAAATCTTGATATCCCCTTCGTAACGTACGGATTCAGATCTGGAGGATGTGCTTGATGACTTGGTGAAGTTGTTGCTGAGGTCAATGTTGCCGCCGAGTGATGCCCAACTCCACGGATCAACCGATGTACGAAAACTGTAGCGCGTCCCTTGGCGGGATTGGGTGCGTTCTTCAGCCTCATCTGGCAGTTGTAAAATATCCGCAATCCGCATACCCCGATCTAGTCTTCGTAGAGAATCTTGGTTATTGAGACTCACGTTCGCATTCAACCCAAGGCTTTCGATGCTACGTTGAAAGATACCCGCTTCCTTTTTCTCTTGCTTACTCTCCCGCTCTTTCAGTTTCCGTGCCAGTTCCGCCTTATCACGACGAATCCAGTCCCCGCGTTGATCCTCTACCTCCTCAATTGTTTCGGAATCAATGCCCATCCGTTCAAGCCGGTTAAGTTCTCGCTGACGCTTTTCCTCAAGGCGTGTCTCTTCCTCAAAGCTGTCAAATTTTGAGGGCGGTTTAGATGTTGGGCTACTCTGTTCCTTATTTTCCTCCTCCCCTTCCTTTGCTGCGCCTTGTTCACCCTCTTCTTCGGGAGGTGTTTCAGGTTCCGGTTCTTGGAACAACCAACCGAACCACGCCCGTGGGCGGACATTGAGTCCTAAGCTGACATTTGCGCTGATCCGGGCATCTTTTCGATCGCCGAACCAGTTCTCGTTCAGGCTGACTCGGTTATTAATCGTTGGGCGGATGCCTAGCAAATCCCGATTCAAACGCGGATTCAGAGCAATCGGTGTTCTCGTTCCGCAATGGTGAATACAGGAACTGCTGCCGGTTCTTCTGTCTCCTCCATCGTTGTTGTTGTGGCTGTCGATTGCGCGAAACTGCTCAAACCACCTCCGCCTTGATTGTTTGGATCCTGTTTTTCAAGTGTGCGACGAACTTCGTACTGCGGATTCAGGCTAAAACTCTCGAACGGGCTGATGTCGATCGAAATGCTGCCGGTATCCACCTTTTCATCTCGGTTACGCCCATAGTAGCTGCCAAACGAAGAAGTGCTGCTACTATAAGTGTCTGTCGCTGTCAATGGATCGGTTTCAACATTTTCGTGGTGATACTGGGCGTCTACCCCAAAGAATGAGCCAAGATCGAACTGGAAGGAACCGGTATAGAGATCGCTAAGTTCTGTGCCTTGGCGTTCATTCCAAAAATCTTGGCGATTGAGTGCGAACCCCAATACTGGAAGTGGGCGTAAATTCAAACGTGCCGAAAAATCTCGACTCTTTGTTTTGCTCTTTCCACTTTGGAAGGAGCTAAAAGATCCACGCTGGCTTTCTGTCTCAGATTCATCCTCTCGGATAGAGTAGCGAACGGGAAGCCAAGAGAAGAGGGTGAGTTCGGTATTGATATTGAAATCATTGCTAGTCGTGCTATATCCCAGATCCTGTCGACGTTGACGCCCTGTATCGCCGGCAGAATTCTCAAAGTCTTTGTCTTGCCTTGCATATCCACCATCCACCTTGAACAGATTGCCAAGTTTAACGTTCATGTTGGCGCGCCGGGCCCAACCTGAACGTACCAGCGGATTGCTTAGATGAATTTCGTTGACCCACACTTCCCCACCAATCTCCTGTTCAGTGTCATTGCGGATGCCGATTAGGATGCCTCCGACATTCTTTATCGAAAGTTTGGGAGCTGTTCGTACCCCGTACAACAAGACCATCCGGATGCCCATCCGGTTCGTCGGCATCTACCTCTTGCTCAGTTGATAGGTCCGTGGAAGTTGTTGGATCCAGTTGGTCAATTTGACCTGTCTGCGGTATAACACCACCTAGATCGGTTAGTGCGGTGGTATCGGGATATTCATTGCGTTTCAGATCGCTCAACTCGATTTCAATCAGTTTCCAGCCGTCAAAATCAATTACGCGCGTGTATTCGTAAAAGTCCCTCAAATTTTCAAAGACGTTGATAGCTTTCTCTTGGTCCTGCGAGTCCTCAAAGGGACCTGCAGAACGATAGGTAGACCGAAATCCGGTGCGGATGCTCGGTGCAAGGCGTAACACAAATGTCGTCTCGCTTCTGTCGCCGTAAATCCACAGTCTGAGCGTATCATGTTTCGAAAAATCTTGCCCTTCGCCGTGCTGGAGCCCGCGCAGTCCCCGTGATGTCACGCCGAAGGATTCCGGCAGAAGTGCATAATTCAACGTCAGTGTTTGTTCGCGCTGCTGTCGTTGTTGGTAGCCGTATGTCGATTCTGTAAAGGGGTGTAACTTTTTGAAATTGTCTTCATCCTTAATCTGTTCATAAGCAGCCTGATAATCGTTAAAGTTGAAGTTGTCTTTGGTGCCAACGGTAAACCGCTCTGCTGCATCGTTGGTAATTGCATCGTTCCGTGTTACTACGCCGCGCTCCCACTGTACACCCCGACCACCTCAATTGACGCCCACTCAAATTTGCCTGTGACAGCTCCGGATCTGTTTTTCTGTAACCAAAAACGCAGATGTTGAATAAACCCAAGGTTCGGTAGACGGTTACCTTCAGCTGTAGCTGCGTTAAGGGGGATGCTTAGAAATGTCCAGCCGTTTGGATGTTGCCGTTTTAACCACTCTTTAGGGATATCGTTAAGCGGAATTTTGATTTCGAGGTAGGCATCGATAGTGTCTAGAACGCCATCTCCGTTAAGGTCTTCCGTATCCAAAACCGTGTTGTTGGGACCAACTTTCGTCGGTTGAAACCCAGCACTATACTCCCATCCGACATCCTCGCCTGTGTCTAACGAGCCATTTGCACGGAATTTTTGGGAAGCAGGCAGGTTTTCCAAATCAAGGTCTAACGCATCAACCTTTCCATCCCCGTTGATATCTTCCAACTCCGGTGGCAGATCCTCGGTGTCCAGTCGTCTATCCAAGTCACTATCCTCGTTCACGACACCCAGATCGATATGCAACGTCACATCCGAGTCACCGCGCACCCGAAACCAAATTTCGAGGAATTGGCGTTCTGAAAAATCCTCTCCAGAGGAAGACAAGCCATACGAAAAGCCGCCCCACTCCTCGATGACATCTGTCAGATCGTAACCAACCTCCATGATGAGGCGTTCTTCCGTCGAGTTTGCCAGCGGATTGATCACCGATGCAGGCACCTCACGATTGCGCATATAGTTGCCGACGGCTTGGGATTCGTTGCGGTCCCTTGCTAGAACACGAAAAAGTGCGCGATTATCCAAGGTCACTCCTTCTGCGACAGGTAGGCTGCTCACACGCCAATGGTGTTTGAACGTGGGGGTGTTCGACGCCTCTCGTGCTCCTTCCATGCTATCAATCAGGGCAAGTCCAACACTGTTCGGGTTATTGTGGGAGAACGCTGTTTCCCCGCTGAAATTTATTGATAACGGAAAATTACGCATTGCGACAAGCGGTAGCGGGTTCAACAGCCATGCTAAATTGAAATCCCTTCCAAAGGTGGTGTTGAAGTTGACAGCCTGCAATCGACTCGGCGCACCATTGACGTCGGGGATACGAGACGGTTTTTGTCCGGTGTTCAGGATGTAACCCGTTGCAAAGCTAAATCCTTTTTGGAATGTAGGATTGAAATAGCTGCTGCCACCGGCACGCAATCCTCGCCTAGATCGACCGCCTAAACTTGAGTATCCGCCAGAACCACCCCCAAAACCGCGAGATCCACCGCCACCAAATCGACCGCCACCAGATCGACCGCCAAATCCACCGGAGGAGCCTCGTCCGAAGGGACTATCCTCAGTGTCAGACCAATCGTCCGTTTCCGGACGATCGATCCTACCGATAAGCCGTTCAAACCGATCTAACTTCTGCTCTTTCTTCTCTGTTTTCGGTTTGGGAATATAGGAATATTCCAGCCATAATCCAGCAACCGTTTGTTGCAGTGATCCACCGAATGGAGTTCTCTCAAATTCAACCACGATTTCGTCGAACTCATCAAGCTCAGTAAAAAAGCGAATGCTTCCTACCTCATATATCATTGTATAATCAGCATCGCGTTTCAGCAGTTGCCCATTGAGCCTCACCTTCTCGCTGCCCGGGATGACAAACAGCCCAACGTTATACGTCTCCGATTGAAACGAATAATCTACAATGATCGTGTAAGCCGCATCGGTCGTCCTTGGGTTTTCGAGGTAGATTGCTTCGTTGCTTAACTGTTCGCGAAATTGGTAGTAAGGACTTGCGGGATCATCGATAACAAAGGGACGCAAATCAGAAAACGTCAGGATACCTCGGTCGAAGTCGATAAACTCCGGATCAACGATACCATCTCCATCTTGATCTAGCCCGAAGATCTGGATATACGGAATTTCTTCGCTCCCTGTATCGAATGATTCGCCACTCCCCTGACGTACAATGGTGATTCGATAATCCCGTGGACTAATATTCCGGTTGCCAAGGCTATACACGCGCCGCGATTCCGTTCCTCGCAGACTTTTTCCCTTTGATGGTAACATAGCCGATTTCCTCACCCTCTTCATCGACCGTACCATCGCCGTTCTCATCCTCAAAGACATTCCCCGGATTTCCAACCACACCACCGCCCTCGCCGAGATATTCATAAGCGACGACAATCTCGTAGCTGGCAGAAATCCGCGTTAAGAACTCGATTTCACCGGTTTCGTAATTGATATTATAATCCTGACCTGCTTGCTGGAGATTGAAGTAACCACGCCCCGTCCGCACGCCGCCCTGATTATTGCTTGCGACGTTATCGTCGATATAGATCTCCTCGCTACCGCGCTGAATTGGGCGGTAGGAATCGTGGAGGAGTTCATCTTCACCGAGCTGAATAAGGTAAAAACGTTCTTTAACATAATTTCGCATCGGGAATTGGGCGACCTCTGCCACCGGCCGCACGTCGCGATTGCCCACCGAAACGGCGTATATCAGAGATACCTTTGCTGCGGGAGCCAAACGCTGTCAACTTTGCCCCACCAAGCTGTGCAACCGCCTCAAGTCCAAACAGATTGCGATTGACGTTCAGGAAGCGGGCATTGGGCAGATTGAGTGTCAGGTCACCAAAAGAGAGAGTTTTGAGGATACTTTTTTCCGTCCCTTCATACCAAACGCGGATTTTCTGCTCCTTTGCACCGCCGTATCCACCGCTATAACCGCTGCTATAACCACCGTAACCGCCGCCATAGCCTCCGCCATAGCCTCCGCCGGAGTCGCTATAGTCAACCTCAACATGAGTATGTTCTCCGACCCGCCCGTGCAAGCCTACTTGGAGGGTTTGCCGAATATTTATCCCCGTGTCGCGAGGCACGCCAGAACTACCACTTCCAAAACCGCTACCGTATCCGCCGCCATATCCACCGCCATATCCCCCTCCGAAACCGCCGCCATATCCCCCACCGCCATACCCTCCACCGAAATCGCTACCAAAGCTATCGTAGGTGTAGGAGGAGGTCAACCCGAGATCCAGCCCGGAGCCAAAACTACCCCCTCCATAGCTGCCGCCATAACGGTTGATATCGCCTTCGCCAAAATAGTGTGTTTGGTGTAGTTCAACTGTTACCGATTTATGACCCGTGATCTGGAGGTTAGACTGGAGAGGGGAGCGCAATGCCCTTCTCCTTCTCTTCCCGTTTTCCTTCGCGTAAATCATCAAGTTCACGGAGATCGAGGAGAAAAGGTGGATTCTTCCACCGGCGCAACGACTCGTAGTACGGCGTCAACATCTCTAGACGGATGTCCTGCTCTTCTGTTTCTTCATCTGCCGGGGGCGGCTGGGTTTTCAACGGATCTGTATCCGAATCTGCTGGAGTTGTCCAGAAATCCTGTGCCTTCGATTCTTCGGTAAGTTCGGTTGGGGGTTCCGTTTCTTCCGTATCGAGTGCTAGGGTGCGGCGTTTCATGTAGTATTCCGTCAGCGATACGTCTTTGAGAACAGGTTCAGCGTGAGCAGTGGGGGGATGTAACGAGGCAAAGATGAGGGTGAGGATGAAGAAGGAGGGCGGACGAAAAATTTTTGTGCCGATCAAATTCAATGCGTATCTCCATCGGATCTGGGATCGGATAAACCATTCACCAATTTGGCGGATCGTCGAAAGATACCTGCCGACTCCATAAGGAATTTAAATACACGGCAGGTATCTTTCACAACAGCTTACCCAGATTTGGAGATAAACGCAGAAAGGAGAGGGCTAGTTTACAAAAAAATCCTTTGGCTGAAGAAGTAGGTTAATTCTTCTGTGCAGTTGGCGGGTACAGTGGAACAAATAGTACGCAATAAATAATGTGTAAGAGCGCATTGGCCAAATAACGACCCCCTTCAAAGAGAATGTCGTCAAACAGATAACCCCTTACGTATTACTCATTACTCGTTGTTTTCTATAAGGTGCCTTTGGTTGAAAGCACGCCACTGACACGATCATCAATACTTGTGGAGATATCAAGTGCTTTTGCAACCGCCTTGAAAATTGCTTCAATGATATGGTGGCGATTGGTTCCGTAAGGGACATTGATGTGCAACGTTGTTCCGCTATGGTTGACAAACCCGTGGAAAAATTCCTCAGCAAGCTCTACATCAAAGGTGCCAACCTTTCCATGATTGAGGGGTGTTTGGTAGTGAAGGTAGGAGCGGCCGCAGAGATCCAGATCAACCTGTGCAAGTGCCTCATACATCGGAACAGTGAAACTACCAAATCGACGCATTCCTGCTTTGTCTCCGACTGCGTTCATGAAAGCCTCCCCTAAGCAGATGCCCACATCTTCAACGGTATGGTGTGCATCAACGTGAAGGTCGCCGGCAGCATTTACTTCGAGATCAAAGAATCCGTGTTTGGCAAAGAGTTCAAGTAGGTGGTCCAGAAACCCAACGCCAGTACTGATATTGGACTCCCCTGAACCATCGATATTGAGTTTAAGCGTAATTTGCGTTTCCCGCGTTTCGCGGACAACTTCAGCTTTGCGTTTCACGCCGTTTTCGTGGCAGTTGCCACGCCTCCTTCCAAGTGAATGAAGCGTGAAACGTGACGGGAAGATAGGAAGCAGACCGACGAGGAAGCGAGTGTTTTTTCTCACACACTTGCTCACTCGCCCCCGTTCCCTCATTCCCACGCTTACTCATCACGCTTCACGCATCACGTCTCACGGTTCGAGTGCTTTCCGAAAATCGTCACCATGTGTCTTCCACCAATCGAAAAGGATTGAAATATCGGTGCCGATGCAGAAATGACGTACCCCCATATCAAGGTAGGATTTCGCTGCATCCACGGTATTGACCTCGGCGCGCGGCGGTACACCCATCTTTATGGCAGTTTCAAACACCTTGCGCTCGGCATCTTGAATTTCGGGTGATCCCCGTTCGCCGGCTTTACCGATATTCATCGAGTAATCGGATCCGCCCCACTGGATCATGTCGACCCCATCAACCGAAAGAACTTCCTCTAGGTTGTCAACAGTGCCCGCCTTCTCGATCATAATCACAACGACGACATCCCTAATAGCCTCAACATATTTTTGGGAGCCTCCGTACCCCATGTATGCGAAACGGCGAGTTGCAACACCGTAGGAGCCGCCATCTTCAGGGGTATCCGGGCGTGAAATACGCACACATTCCTTAACATCTTCTACTGTATGGCAGTCGGCGAACAACACGCTCTGGAATCCGGAGCCAATTGCACGTTGCGCAATAAAGCCGCGCGGTTCTTGGTCAACCTTGATCATGCTGGACATGCCGTATAAATCTGCCGCCCGTCCCAAGTTATCAAGATCGTGCAGATCGAAGGGACCATATTCTGCCACAAATTCAACATAGTCGTACAGTCCCGTGTGCCCAATCGCTTCGATTAAGGAGGGCCAAGTGCTATGGATGTGAGTGCCAAGCGTCGGTTTCCCCGCGTTCAACAACTCTCGTAGTTTGTTAGGTCGCATATAAGTTACCTCCAATATTCAGGTTTGGAATTTTCGCCCCACAGGCACGCAACTTTGTGAGGCGTAGATGTCATCATAGAAAAACAGGTATCCGCAGATACCCGATGGATAGGGATTTCCGCCCCGCGTCCGGTTGCACACGATCGGATTAGGGAACCTCTTTATCTCCGCCTTCAGCTATTTGCACATTTATGTACTTCTGCCTAGGTTTCGGAAGGCTGTACCAATTCTAGCAATCGATCAATGATATCAAGGCTTGATATCCCGTCAGCTTCGGCGTTGAAATTCGTGAGAATGCGGTGTCGCAGCACCGGTTTCGCAACGGCGCGTATGTCGTCATAAGAAACATGATAGCGACCATGCGTAATAGCCCTTGCTTTCGCTCCTAGCACAAGATATTGCGAGGCTCTGGGACCTGCGCCCCAATTGACCCAATCCTTGATAAAATCTGGTGCGTCCGGCGCATTTGGACGCGAGCGATGACTTAATGCAACCGCGTAATCAACGATTGATTCCGCGATTGGGACCTTCCGGACAAGCTGCTGCAGACGCAGAATCTCTTCGCTTGTGATGACAGCATCTAACTGTGGTTCGTATGCGGAGGTTGTTGTCATAACGATCTGTTTTTCATCGGCGGGATCGGGATAGTCAAGGTAGATGTTGAACATGAACCGATCCAGTTGCGCCTCAGGCAGCGGATATGTTCCTTCCTGTTCAATTGGATTTTGCGTTGCTAAAACAAAAAAGGGGCGGTCGAGTTCATAGGTTGTGCCACCCGCGGAAACTTTGTACTCCTGCATGGCTTGCAACAGTGCCGCTTGCGTTTTGGGTGGCGTACGATTAATCTCGTCCGCTAGCACGATATTGGCAAAAACGGGGCCCTTGATAAAGCGAAAGAATCGCCTACCGGTTTCCACATCATCCTGAATGATGTCAGTGCCGATGATGTCCGAAGGCATCAGATCCGGTGTGAATTGGATACGACTGAAATGAAGGTCTAAAATTTGAGCCAAACTGTTGATGAGTAGGGTCTTTGCCAGCCCCGGTACTCCTACGAGTAAGCAGTGTCCTTGCGAAAAAAGCGCAATCAACAATTCATCAATAACCGCTTGTTGACCAACAATTCGTTTCTTGAGTTCATTCAAAATTGATTCTCGCGCATCTCTCAGAAATTCTGCGGCTTCTATATCTGCGTCTGGCACATCAACGGAATTGGTGTCGTTCAACTGTTTATTCTCCATGGATTGCTGATTTGTTACAGTTGGGTTCTAAGCGATCTCCACACAGCGGCACTCCATTTGAGGGGCTGCCCCGTTCTGCAATGTACACTCTACATTTGTCTATAAGTGTAGCCTATTTTATCACACGGCGTCAAGGATTGCTTTTTAAATCAGCGAAGGAACACAGAAATTGGGGTATTGCAATTGAAAGATAAAGTGAGGGGATGTTCAGCGTTTTTGGGGGGCTTGGGATCAGATGGAAATGTAATGGGGAGGTGGGTGGGAGCGGGAGGCGATCACCAAGGCTTACTTAAAACAGGTTCAACAGTTTTCAGAACATATTTTAAGGGGACCAAGGTGATCGCTGTGACTACTTATTATTAAACAGCGTCTCTGAGCCCTTTTCCAGCTTTGAAGGCGGGAACCTTCTTCGCTCCAATTTTGATCGTGGCTCCCGTTTGGGGATTTCGACCTTCACGGGCGGCTCTCTCCCTGACTTCAAAAGTACCAAATCCGATTAGCCCAACAGACTTGCCGCTGGCTAAAGAACCTTTGATACAATCGATAACGGCGTCGACGGCTCTATTTGCCTCTGCTTTGCTCAATCCTGCCGCTTCAGCAACGGCGTCAACGACGTCCTGCTTAGTAACGTCAGCCATATTATCCTCCTAATAGATAAAAAAACTTAAAAATTATACTACAAACTGAGCCAATTATACTACACACACATTAGCGTGTCAAGCGAAAAAGACAGTGGTAATGCGGGTCTTGGCGTTTTTTCACAATTTCTTTTGTGTGCTATTGGGTTCGATAACCCAATATCTTGTGGTATATCCTGTTTAACAAACGAGGGCTTCCTTCGTTCGGTTTCGTTAAATTTAAATAACATAAAAGGTATATACCTATAGCCAACGAGGATTTCTCTAAAATACCGCAAGTTGCTGCTATAGGAAACGTTGCTCACCGGGTGAATGACAGCTAAATTGATGCAATCACCTGCTCGCAGTGGATTGCCAAATCGCTGCACGTTTTGCGGATATGGCTTGGATATGCCTATTCCAATCTCTTTGGATCCCGGATCTTAATCGGGTTGCTTTGAACTCTCGCGAAGTCGGAGCCGAGCAGTTTGATAATAGCACTTAGGTTAATCCGCCATTCCTTCTCCTTTTACCTCTCTTTTGGTGTGTTCGCCCGTGTTAGAGACAACATCCCCATAAATTCATCTCACCACCGTGACATGGCTATCCATTCCATCGTTCTCGAGCTAGGCAAAGTCCCATATTGCGCCTGTTCGCCGAAAACGGGTCGCTAGGTTTATGGCAAACTTTTCCTCCAGCAACGGAATCCCTTTCCGCACGGCGCGACGATGCCCAATCGGGTATTCGACCTCAACCTTTCAGTGATGAGCCATCCTTGAAACGGATTTGGAGTGCATTGGCGATTGAGCGTTTATCCGGTGTCCAGGTAATCTTTGCTGTACTGTGGATTCTCTGAACAGTCATCTTTTCACACGCAAGGTGTCAATGACGCGGATCAGCCGCAACTCATCTTCATAGGGGTCGGCGTGAGTGTGCCATGAATGCAGCCAATCGCTGCCATGTAATGGAGGCAGTGATCGCGATCCGCGGGGTTGTGCGCGTCCCGTTTTGAAATAATGCGAATCGCGATTCATGTGTTGTGATGCTAATCTCGTCGAGTCTCACTAGCAAGCGATTCGTCTCACGCTTCTCATGCATGCTGGAACGTCACATTCCAACGGCTGTCGTGGGCGTGAAATTCGCTGGGAACGCATCTTGAACAGAACATGCTCCATCGACGTAAGCCCATAAGGCTGCCGACGGACGAAATGGGCTTCCCTTTGAACTGTCAATCGTAAAAGCCCCACCCTTCAGTAGACATACGGACGGATAGCCCATTTCCCGCCTTCATGCTATCAATGCCTATAGCCTGATACCGCTCGACTCGTTTGCTGGATCGTTTGGGTCGCTCGCGCCACGATTCCGTGAACCGGTGTCGGTGCATGATGCCGATAGACCCGTAGGCTCCTCCGTCAGCAAAGGCATTGGAATCGGCATGATAATCTCTTCCTCTCTGCTGCCCAGCATCGCTCCACAACCGCGTTGATGCAACTTTTCACAACAGTTGTACATGGTCCATCCAACACGGTTCAAGCTAGCTGTCAGCGCGAGGACCACCCTGATTTCGTGCGCTTGATCATCGCGTAAGGAGGGTGGGGTCGCGCACTAAAGTGGGCGGGCTGACGTCTGCCAGATTCCGTCCCTCTGCGACTCAAGTATCCCCGGTTGCGAGGAATGCCGCCCCGATTGTCGACGGATGGGCCCACTCTGCGCGAGCCATGTGTCATTGTAGTCCAGCCACGAATTCAGACAGCTATGTTATAGGCGGCTGTACCGGGTCTAATTCAAATTGCGTCCCGGAACACGGTGCACCGTGTGGAGACACATGCGTCCCCGGATCGTTGGTCCACCGATGTTTCGTATCATCGGGATAGCGCAATGCCAGCACCGCGCAACCGAGCGAGTCCATCAACAGTGCGTGCGGTCGCATCGAGCGAGGTCGCTGTCAATAACCTCCTGTGCGATGTACGCAGGCGATGTCTAACAGTATCGGAGGTCAGGATCAGTCGAGGTGTTTGAGATGTGTGATGCCATACACACACCTCTTTTCTTACAAATTTAATTGTATCTCCTTTTCTGGATTTTTATGCGATTACCGCCCGCTTTGTTGCGTATGGAGACCATTATTTTAATACGCATGTTCCCTTCCCGCCCTTTCAAGTAAAGTCCTATAGACCTGCTGTATGTGTCAGGACACCGTACACCATCCAGAGTCATTATGAATCAAATCAAAGCCGAAAAGAATGGATGCGCGGCTTGATATCCCTTTGACTTTGGCCATACTTCAGATTGACCGCTTTTAAACGCCCACATGATGCAAAGGTGAAATCCAGAATAGTCGATCGAGGAATTCTGACGGCGAGGGGAGAGCCGGCAGGATGACTGGGCCACCAAAAGAAGCGCATCCGCAAACGAAAAAAAAAAAAAAAACAAAAACGAAAAAAAAAACAAAAAAAAAAAAAAAAACCGGTATAACAAGTAACTAAGAATCCGGCGGTCATATCATCCCCGCCCGCCCGCCCTCCCCCCATCCCGCCCCTCCCCGCCCCCCCCCCCCCCCACCCCCCCCCCCCCCATCCCGCCCCCCCACCCCCCCCCCCCCACCCCCCCCCCCCCCCCAGATTAAACAACATAAAACAGCCAGGCCCCAACCCCCCCCCCCAGCTACCCCCGAGCCAACACTCCGGGCCCCGCCCCACCTTTCCTTCTCCGTCCCTCCTCGGGGCATCGGATGATACGCCAGTTTCCAAACGTCGGAGGCGTCTTGGAGACCCAATCTTAAAGAACGACACCCTTGCATGTGCCCTCCGCGGTACACATCATGTCCATAGGTTTGTCCACATCCTCAATGACGCGACACAGCGATCCCCAAGCATCATCGCCCAACCGGTCTGGCGACTGTCTGTTGATGTGGGGCACGCATTCACCATCTTGAGTGACTCAACGGACCCGGATTTCCATGCGAACGATATGCTCCGTGTGAACCACTGCTGAGAGCTCATCACAGTCAGGAGGTTCTCGACCGGCCCCAGCTATGTGTTCCGAAGCAGTCACCTCCCGCGCGACGTCCGCGGGGTTATTCGATCTTCTGTGCGGGCCCAATTCCTGTCTGGTCTGCCCGCGACGGGTGATCACATGGCGATGGAAACAATCGAGGACGAAGAAGATTGGAATGCGACCATTGACATGCCAGCCTGAGCGAGAAGATAGCCATAAACAGAAATCCACTCCGCTAATCAATCAGTGCTGTTCGATCACCCGCATCGTCTCATCTGCGTCAACCGATGAGGTCGCAGAAAATGCGGTCCGAAATACAAAGCTCAATGCTTCCTTCGCGTCAATCCTACCTATGAGATAGGCAGAACCAGGCAGACCGTCCGGATTGTTTCATGAAGTAACGGGAACCCGGGGAGACATGCGTAAGTCCGCATAATACTGACCACCCGCGGGTTAGTTTTGTCGCCGCATCATATAGAAGAACCACAGGTAAAGCAGAGATCGAGTGGCAGGAAGAATCCGAGTCCAATCATGACTGATAGAAGAGATGCGATGTACCTGCCATCGCACTCCACGGTTTCTCGGAGAAATATTGACTGATGGAGACCACTAAGGTGGAGATATGGACCGGATGGGACAGGACGTGCATCCGTTCATGAGTACATCGAGAACGGCAGGGATCGCGAGCCGAGCCACAGACAAACCGTTCCGAGGAACGTGATGACTGCACCATCGCTAACCGGCAGTTGGATAATTGGAACGCCAGTCGTCCGTTTGCACCCACTGCGACGCACTAGGGTATTCATGCAGTGGAGCATATATACAACCCAGCGTGAACACCTGTCCAGACAATATGGTCGCACCCAGGTGCCTGTAAGGTGCTGTTGCTTGTAAGCGGCGAATCGTCGCTTCGTAGTATCGGCGAGTATGTCGTTGGGGGTAGTTGCGGTAAACCAAGATATAATGAAAAAAGCGCTCTTTCCACTCATTTTCGGATCGTTCGGCGAATAGCGAAGTGTACGGGTGAGGAGAATAGCGAACAGGTCTTGCAACATCACCATACGATGCGATCGAAGTCGAAACACGAGCATCGAATAGATGGTAACGTCAGCTGCCCCAGGGGAGATAAACAGCTCGCTGCCACACCTGATAGCAGTTGTTAACACGACAGGGCAGCACAGATAAAAATAGGGTAGATGAATATCGCAGGGCGGTTGCCTCCGCACGGTACTGTCATCTCCACAAGTGTCACCCATATAACGTTGACGGGATCAAATAGACCAATCATGTATGCGCGCGCGCCTGGCTTGCGCCGTCATATTTCCTGCGTTCGAGCTCTCTTGCAATTAAGCACTCCATTGTCCTCAAGCCATTTTTTGGTGTTCTACTACTACATTCATGATATTTCCTATTGCCGAATGAGTTTAGCATCAAGTACATCTGTTGTCAAGAAGGGTTGAAGGATTGCGCCAATCTATGGTACTATGCCTACGATTGACCTGAAATGACCTAAAGAAGCCGCCCCAGAAAGTGAGGCAAAAATGGCATCCGTCCAAAACAATCCCGGCTCCTATCTCGCCGTAGCGCGTGACTGCACGCCCGTATTGCGGCGGCATCCGACGATATCGATCGTGAACGAAACTGCCTGAGAAACTTTTTACAGAACTTGCGACAATGGTTTTCCTTCGCTACTTGTGCCGCGCTCCCATCGGTGCGAAGATTATCTGGAACATCTTTCCATCGTTCAGCCTTCGCTGAGGTTGACGTGTAGCACCGCTTGGTGTATCAATCAAAATAACGTCTTTGCGACGGTTTCTGCCAAAATGCCTGGGCCGTTAGCGCGAGAGATTTGGGATAATCCGCGGGCGGTGGTGCAAACGGTCCTCCGACAAACGCCTCTGCTGTTCCGGTCAGTGGGGGTTACCGTCTCACAGGTCGGTGGAATTTTAGCAGTGGATGCCGTCACGCAACGTGGATGGCGGCGGTTGCCCCCGTCAAGCATCCGAACCACGGCAAGGAGCCTTCAAGGGGCAAAGGGGAGGACCGGATGCTAATCATGCCGAAAGGAGAGGTGACTTTCGTAGATGTTTGGCAGGTCAACGGGCTTCGAGGCACTGGAACTTTCAGTTTTGAGGTCAAGGATGTCTTCGTCCCTAGTGAGCGGACGTTTAACCCCTCCGATACCCCGCGTGAAGAGGGACCACTGTATGTGATGCCGATGTTGCTGCTGTTTGCTTCGGGGTTTGCGTGCACGGCACTTGGTGTCGCTCGTACAGCACTGGATGCCGCGGTTGAGTTGGCGGGTGGGAAGCGTCCACGCTTGGACAGAAATCTGCTGCGAGATAAACCCATCGTCCAACGGGAAATTGGCAGAGCTGAGGCAATCTGGGGATCAGCGCGCGCGTTTCTGCTCGAAACTGCAGCCGCAGCGTGGGAGAGTGCTTGTCAAGTTCATGCCCTGACGCTTGAGGAGCGCATCCGATTACGACTAGCTTCGACCCACGCCATCCGCATGGCAGCAGCGGCGGTTGATATTGTCTATGAGGTGTGCGGTTCAGACTCCATTTTTGAGAATAAAGCCGATTCAGCGCCGGTTTCAAGACGCGCATGTTATCACGCAGCAGATTCAGGGACGTATGGCGCACTACGACACGGCGGGTCAGTTTTTCTTAGGGCTGGAGCCGGAGGGCATGTTCTAGCGATAGTGGACAGCGACTTTGCGAATTGCTTGGACGATGTCCGCAATGTCCGCATCGGTAAAGCTCGGGAGCATACTGAGATTGACGCCTCGACGCATCAGGGCTTCGCCATACGGACATGCGGCTAGCCGGTAGTCGATAGGCTTTTCCCGTTCATAGTCGAATGGGAAGCGGGTGCGGCCATAGCAGTCCGGTTCAGCGAGAAACGGGTTGCGGTAAAGAGGACCTTCCTTCCCCGACCCGATGTATGGTCCCCCCAGCGGGACGCCCTCTCTGCTCACCGCTTCAGCGAACTCCCCGGCGGAGCAGTTGAGCCGGTTGGTATCGATCGTAAAACCCAGGACCCAGTAGGTGTGGCGGTCGCCCTGCCGAACCCGCTGGGGCGTAATCTCCTCGATGTCGGCAAGCCCCTTGATAATCTGCTCGGCAGCACGAATCTTGTTCGCAATGTAGCCATCAACCTTCTTGAGTTGTGTGAGCAACACCGCCGCAATCAGGTCGTTGATCTTATAGTTCGGTGCTAGGAAGTAGTTTGCATAGGGCAGCCCTTCATACGGTCCGTTGGCGCGAGGCAGCGCAGCGTCAGCAAAGAGAACACCACGCCCCCAGAGTCCCTCATCATTGGTTAGGACGATACCACCCATGCCCGCCGAGAGGTGTTTTCCGCCAAAGCTAAAGCCGCTGATATCGCCAAGCGTGCCGACAATCTTGCCCTGATATTCCGCAAAGTGAGCCTGACAACAGTCCTCGATCAAGAAAAGCTGGTGACGTTGTGCAATCTCCCGCAGGTCGTCCATGTTGCAAGGATTGCCGAACAGATGCACGGCGATAATCGCCCGCGTCCGTGGCGTGATCTTTGCCTCGACGTCCTTCGGGTCAAGGGTGAAAGTGTCGTCAATGTCGGCGAATACGGGGACGCAGTTGTGTAATAGCGCACCTATGAAGCTGCCCCCAGAGGTCCAGGGCGAAACGATAATCTCGTCGCCGGGGTCGGGATTGATTGCCCCAATGCAGACGTGCATCGCCGCCGTCCCGGAGGTGACTGAGATGGCGTGTTTGACGCCATGTCTGGCAGCAAACTCACGCTCAAACTGGGCAACTCGCGGTCCCTTACCGGGGTTGCCTGAACGAATGACTTCGGCGAGTGCTGCGATGTCTTCGTCACCAAAATCGTGAGATGGGCCAAACGGTTGTGTGCGCACCGGGGTTCCGCCATTAATGGCCAAACGCTCATTCATGCGCTGTTGCTCCTTTTCTTATAGGACTCACACAGTTGATATAAAGGTCGTTGAAACTTTTCTGGCGAGTTGCCTTTATTTGAACACGTTACACGTGAAAGACGTACAAATCTCGATTTTGCATCGGCAAGTCAATCCACCGTCCGCCCTGCCGATGGCTCTCCGCTACGGTGATACACGCCTCTGTGATTGGGTGTGTGACCTCAATATTGCCCAGCGACGGGCGTCCCGACTCATGCGCGTCTACCAAGTCCTCTAGGCAAGAGACGACTGTGCTGACCGGACTCTCTTCTGGAAATGACTCCCCTTCCCATTGCAGGGGCCAACCGTCGGTGTTATTCCCCTTCCGGAAAGTCACCGCTGCGCCATCCCACATCGATCGGATAGTGCCTTCCGTCCCGACTATCTCATACTCTCGTCCTCCGGTCGGCACTGACCACGCTTCAATTCCGTTCGCGAAAACGAGTTGAAAAATTCCCTGCGGGTCTTCCTCTAGTCGTTGCCTTTAACCTCTATATTTCTGGGTAGCAGATCCCCCCGTACCGCTGCGATCTCTGGATCCCCCAACAGGTAGGAAACAGTGTCCATCCAGTGATGTGCACGTGCATCAGGCTAGCAGCCCCATAAACCACGGCTGTTTGCGGTTCACCGATATCCCCTCGCGCAATCATCTCCCGTATCCGCTTGTACCGCTCGCTGAACCGCCTCAATACACCGGTGTTGAACGGTGTGCCGTGTCTGCGGCAGGCTTCAAGGACCTCATCAGCCTTCTGCACGGAACAAGAGATCGCCTTTTCCACAAAGAGCATCGGCACACCGGCGTTTGCCGCGTAGACCGCCATATCTGCGTGTGCATCGTCCCGAAAGGCGGTTGATGGTGCAGCGATTGCCCGGTTTGGGCAAACCGGTCGCTGTCGTACACACCGCCACCAGATCCGGCTGCTCCTTCTCAATCATCTCTTGGTAGTCTCATAAACCGTTTCTATGTCCCCATTTCTCTTGGAATGCTGTCCGTCGCTCTGGAATCGTCTCTGCCCCTGCCACCACTTGAAGCCGTTCACTCACATGGGACGCCGACGCAATTGATTGGTCAAGTGTACTGCCCATGCGCCCTAGCCCCGCAATCGCCACTCGGTAGGTCTTCATTATATTCTCCTTTACCCATAAACTATGAAAATGTGCAAAAGTTTTACACGGTATATTTTTGCTCGCTCGGATGTTATCACAAATGCAGGGGGGACGCTATGAAAAACTTTAGGAGCTATATTGCTACCAACTTTGCGCTTGACTCCGTGTAGGGGTCGTGATACAGTAATTTCGCTTTTCCTCGCATCAGTTTATTGAAATTCATTCAGATGGTCATGTCCCATAAACGTGAGCAAAAAGGAATTGAGAAATGAGTCGAATATCATATATCACGCCTGAAAACTTTACCGAAGCGCAACAACACTCTTTTCAAAAGTATCACCGGCGGCAAGCGTGGCGAGGGGCGGGCTCCCGAGGATCTCCTCAACTCAGAAGGGGGGATGAGCGGTCCCTTCAACGCATGGCTCAGAAGCCCTGTGTTAGGCGAGGCAGCACAACGGGTCGGTGAGGCTGTCCGTTTTGAAAGTGCGCTCCCACCTCAACTGCGAGAACTTGCAATTTTAGTGGTTGCTGCCAAATGGAAGGCACAATATGAGTGGTGGGCGCATGAGAGAATTGCGAGACGCGAAGGCTTGGACGAAGGGGTAATAGAAAGCGTCAAGGCGGAGACACTCCCAGATTTCTCCAATTCAACCGAGGCGATAGTCTATAACTTTGCCCGTGAGTTGCTCGACGAGCATCGCGTGTCAGACCATCTATACAATGATGCGGTTGAACAACTCGGTGAAGCGAGGGTTGTGGAGCTAGTGATCCTGCTCGGTTACTACACTTTAGTGTCAATGACGCTGAATGTATCTGAGGTGCCAGTGCCCGCCGGTGAGGATGCGCCGTTCATTGATCGCACTGAAACCTAACGGGGATGCAGAGAACGAAAGGAGATTGGATATGGGGCTCAGTGGTAAGGTTGCAATCGTCGTTGGTGCCGGTCAGACGCCGGGGGAAACCATCGGCAACGGCAGGGCAACCGCGATTCGTTTCGCAAAGGAAGGGGCGCGGGTGCTCCTCGTTGACAAACGACCCGACTCGGCAGAGGATACCGCCCGGATGATAAAGGAAGTTGACGGTGAAGCGTCAGTTTTCGGTGCGGACATAACCGTTGAAGCGGATTGTCAGGCAATTGTCGAAACCTGTGTCGCTCGCTACGGACGTGTCGATATTTTGCATAACAACGTCGGGATCGCAGCGGGCGATGCTGACACGGTTGATGTGACCGAAGCAAATTGGGAACTATTGATGGACATCAACCTCAAAGGCATGTTTCTCACGATTAAGCATGTCCTGCCGGTGATGCGAGCCCAAGGGGCCGGGGTCATTATCAATATCTCCTCGACAGCGTCGCTCTGCACGCGACCGACCATGCTCGCTTACAAAACTAGCAAGGCTGCGATCAATGCGATGACACAAAACCTCGCCATTGAAAATGCGGAATACGGGGTGCGCGTGAATGCGATTTTGCCCGGTTTGATGGATACACCCATGGCGATTGAGCGGCGGGTAGCGGAGCAGGGAGTGAGCCGAGAAGTTATACGTCAGGAGCGGGACGAAGATGTACCGCTCTGCCAAAAGATGGGCACCGGCTGGGATGTCGCGGCTGCGGCTGCGTTCCTCGCGTCCGATGATGCAAGGTACATCACAGGGGTACTTCTGCCCGTTGACGGCGGCTTGAGTGCGCGGGTTGGGTGAGATGTGAATGATCGACCAGTACTGTAGGGGCGATTCGCAGTACATCGTCGGGTTGATTAGGAAGGTGATAGCGATTAGTTTAGAGATTGTAGAGGGCTTGCCCAATCTGGGGGTTTTTGTCCCTTAAGCAAAACATAACACAAAGAAGTGTCCTCATTCAAGTTTTTAGCTGCCACACTAAAAGGACATCCCAGTGAGAATCAAAAAAGAAGAATTTAAGAGATCGGGTAATTTGGGTTATTCTTCGTGCCTGATAGAAAAATATCTCAAGATAAAAAAAGGACGGGGGTGACAAAGCCCCGTCCACAACTACTTTTAACCTAACCATAGGAAATTTACTGTCTATAAGATTAATCTACGACAGATTTGACAATGACAAAGATCCAATTCTTCGGCCGCCAATTAAGACCAAAAATTGGATCCTTTTAATTGGCGAGGAAATATTACCCGATTGTCGTTTGGTTGTCAAGGAAAAAGATTTAGGAGTTCTTTGTCTTAGAGCAGATTATGGTTAAGGTAATAAGATAGGAAGTTTCCAATATGAAATTAACCTCAGCTTTCAAAAAAGTTCCAGAAGAATACATCAGACTTGTTGAAGAGTTGTCCGATGCTAATTATCCCTTAAAGCCCTAGTCTACTTATTGTGTTAGATTATTTGCAAAACTCCCATCATTACATTTGCGGAGGGCATGTCCACAGCAGAATCGTGCCGTCGTCACTCCCACTGATAAGTGTGTTTCCATCCGATGAGAACACGACGGAATTAACCTGATTTACATGTCCCTCAAGGGTATGCTTGTGTTTGCCGGTGTGGGCATCCCACAACTGAATTGTGCAATCATTACTCCCACTGGCGAGTGTATTTCCATCCGGTGAGAACATGACGGAAGTGACCATAGTCGTATGCCCTTCAAGGGTATGCTTATGTTTGCCGGTGTGAACGTCCCATAACCGAATCGTACCGTCTTCAAATCCACCCCCACTAGCAAGTGTGCTTCCATCCGGCGAAAACGCAACGGAAAAGACAATACCTGTATGCTCTTCACGGATTTTGTTGTGTTTGCCGGTGTGGGTGTCCCACAGTAGAATCGTACCGTCTTCACTTCCGCTAGCAAGTGTGTATCCATATCGGCGAACAATACTACAGAAAAGACGCTGCTTGTATCGTCACCAAGGGTATGCTTGTGTTCGCACTGTGGGGCGTATCCCACAATCGAATCGTGTCGTCTTTACTCCCACTGGCAAGTGTGTTTCCATCTGGCGAAAATGCTACAGAAATGACCCCATTTGTATGCTCTTCACGGATTTTATTGTATTTGCCGGTGTGAGTGTCCCACAACCGAATCGTGTCATCGCCACTCCCACTGGCAAGCATTTTGCCATCTGGCGAAAATACTACAGAAAAGACGCTGCTTGTATGTCCTTCAAGGACTTTATCATATTTACCGGCGTTGGTATCCCACAACCGAATCGTGCCGTCTTCACTTCCACTAGCGAGCATTTTGTCATCCGGTGAGATAGCAAGTGTGTAGCCAGTTGGCTCGAGCCCTTCGGAACCACTCTCACTTATATACCCTTCAAGGGTTTTGTTATGTTTGCCAGTGTGAGCATTCCATAACCGAATCGAGCCCTCCCTGCCTGCACTAGCAAGTGTATTTCCGTCCGGCGAAAATGCAACAGAAACGACCCTATGCGTATGTCCTTCGAGAGTTTTGTTGTGTTTGCCTGTATGAGTATCCCACAACCGAATTGTCTCGTCATCACTTCCACTAGCAAGTATGTTACCGTCCGGCGAAAATGCAACAGAAACGACCCCATTTGTATGTCCTTCAAGAGTTTTGTTGTGTTTGCCTGTATGGGTATCCCACAACCGAACCGTTTCGTCCCAACTCCCACTAGCAACCATTTTACCATTTAGGGAAAAGGCAACACAACTTACTATATGTGAATGCCCCTTAAGTGTTGCTTTGTGCTTGCCGGTATGGGCGTTCCATAACCGAATTGTTCCGTCACCAAGGCCACCTCCACTAGCAAGTGTATTTCCATCCGGTGAGAACGCCACAGAAGTAACTTCGGCCCCCCTAAGCTTAAGCCCGTACCCTCGCGTTCAACCCAAGTGCCATCTGGAGATCTCTCGATAACATTCCCCGAAACCAACTCCGAGTGCCCCCTAAGTGTTGCCTTGTGTTCGCCGGTATGGGCGTCCCACAACCGAATTGTTCCGTCACCAAGGCCACCTCCACTAGCAAGTGTATTTCCATCCGGTGAGAACACCACAGAAGTGACCTCAAGAAATTTTTCTTCATTTGCATGTCCCTCAAGAGTTTTATTATGTTTACCGGTGCGGGCGTCCCACAACTGGATTGTCGCATCCCCCCAACTCCCACTGCTAGCAAGCGTTTTACCATCCGGCGAAAACACTACCGACGAGACATGATGTCCTGTAATCAGGACGACTTCGACACCGGTGTGTGCATTATAACACCAAATGCCGATGTTGCTCGCTACGGCAAACCGAGTGCCATCCGGGGAATATGCGATATTACCAGATATCCTGCCTTTACCGAAACGTGCTTTGGCATCTTTGGGCAAATCCCATGCTAAATGTCCGTATGCTTTCTCTATCATATCAATCCGTTTACCTCAACTTTAATTTATTAGATTAGATGTCATAAAAATCAAGATTCTGACATTCACTTTCATAACCAACAAAATATTATTTGCGTTCATACTCTATTAATTGCATATTATACTCTTGTACAATTTGGACTTCAACCCTTTTTGTTAGAATGACTTCTTTCTCCATAATTTGCGGAGGGAGATGTTGAGATACACAGTTTTGAATGAAATCTGCCCCTAATCTTCCATCCCGCTTTTTATCCCGAAAATCCCCTAATCCAGTAAATCCCGATTCAGACAATTTCCCAATCGTTTGACCTTCCCGTAATTTTCGCTTGACCTGCTTCCCTCCAGTGCTATGATAGAAACACAATATCCGATATTTTCAAGCGTGAGGGACAGTGCGATCACAGTCCCCTCATGCTGCCGATGTCTGATCTAAGACCAACCCCAAAACGGGGTATCCAATCTACAGAATAGAATAAGGAGATATAACATATGAGTACAAAAGTTGCTATCGTTACAGGAGCGGGCTCTAACATTGGCCAACGAACGGTACTCGCGCTGCTAGGCGAAGGGTATTCCGTTACGCTAGCTGGACGACGGGCGGAAGCGTTAGAGGACACGGCTGCACAAGCGGGAGAAGCACGCTCACGAACATTACTTGTGCCCACAGATGTAACAGATCCCGCCTCCATTAAAGCCTTGTTTGCCAAGACAAAGGAGACCTTTGGTAGGCTCGACCTACTGTTTAATAATGCGGGAGTCGGCGCGCCGAGCGTCCCCTTGGAAGACCTGACCTATGAGCAGTGGAAAAGAGTCGTGGACACCAACCTGACCGGCTCATTCCTCTGTACACAGGAAGCGTTCAAGATTATGAAGGACCAAGACCCCAGAGGGGGACGCATCATCAATAACGGTTCTGTATCGGCACATGTGCCGCGCGTCAACTCCGCGCCCTATTCTTCCACCAAACACGCGCTGACCGGGCTAACGAAAGGCGACATCGCTTGACGGACGCAAGTACGATATTGCGTGTGGACAAATTGACATCGGCAATGCGTCAATTGACTCCGCCCAACGAAGCGATACCGGCAGCCTCCAACCGGATGGATCTCTTATGGTTGAGCCGCGAATGGACACAGATGATATCGCGCGTTCTGTCGTGTTCATGGCAAGCCTACCGCTGGAAGCAAACGTGCTGTTCATAACCGTCATGGCGACGAAGATGCCCTATGTTGGGCGTGCGTAATTTGAAGTTATTTCGAGTAGGTCGATTTTCCAAAATCGACATCTCGATGTCGAGATATGAATCTCGACCTACTGTGCGGCTGCGCCCAACGATGGAGGGGGTTCATAATGGCTGACAAACAGCAGATCCAGGGGTGGCTCGACAAGCTACGCGCCGGTACGCTAGCGGAAGTAGACCTCCAACAGGCATTGGAGCGTCTAAGTGATGGAACTTCGGAGGGCGACTCGCCTAAGCGTCAGCGATTACTGTATCTGAACACCGGCAGCACCGGCGTTGACTCGCAAGTCCTTGGAATGTCGCTGGTAGAGAACGGTCAGATCCTCGAAGGACCAGACGATGTGGACGAGTGGCCCTACAACTCCGTACTCGAAGCGATGAACGATGGCTGGCGGGTGATCAAGTTCCCAGAGATGGCACTGATGCTCCAAGAAGACAAGACCTTTGGCCTTGGCTGCGAATTTATCCTCGAAAAATTAACCTGAAACCACGATCGTTTGTAGGGAACGCAGATCTGCGTTCCGTAAAGAAGGAGTTTTTTGATGAACCCAACGACATTGTCCCCGGTTGAGCGAATCGGAATCCCGCATAGCGAGACCACGATAGGAGAGACCTACGATTGTGAACCGACGCTGAACGACCAGCAGGTGTTTGAATTTTGCCGCAAGGGGTATCTGGTACTCGAAGGTGTGGTCGAAGACGAGGTCAATCATCGCATGATGGACTTTGTGGACGAACACCCTGAGCATCAACCGCTTGAACTGCTGACCGAAGACTGGTTTGTTGATGGCGTGTTCAAAAATCCACAAGCGGCGGGTGCCGTCAGATCGTTGCTCGGCAAAGACTTCAAGCTGCCCCAGACGCTATGTAATCACCGCGCCCCATGTCCGGCACCGCCCCAGGGGTGGCATCGTGACGGCGGATCGATTTACACCCCGCGCTTGGACTACCTACAAGTATTCTATTACCCACAGGACACGCCGAAAGAAGCGGGACCAACTGAAGTAGTTCCCGGCTCCCACTTTCTTCGTACCAAAGCCAACTACATGGCGCACTTACGCAGTGTGAAACTCTCCGTACCAACCACCGCACCGGCAGGCTCTATCTTCATCACCGTTTATTCGATATGGCACCGCAAGGGTCGGAGCACCACCAACGGCTTCCGCAACCTGTTCAAATACAACTACTGGCGGACAACCGAACCGCGCCGTGACTGGAAATTGACCCCGATTTTGACTTTTCTTGGCCCTCTTTCAACAGCGACCCTACTTCGAGCAGTTTAAGGGTGACATCGCCGCGGCTGAAATGTTCTGCTGGTTATCCGGCGAAGACTATCAACACACCGGCGGTCAGTGCTGGCCCTGCGGAGCCCCCGTCAAGCCACCCGGTGTGCGACCAAGAGGGGTTGCCAAGCGGACTGCGCCGATACTCGGAGGCACGGGTATGAATATCGGGTTCATCGGTATTGGACGCATGGGACGCTTCATGGCACGAAACCTTGCCAAGGGCGGTCACACCCTGACGGTGTTTGATACGCACAAGGAGGCGGCTGAAGAATTGCTGTCGCAGGGCGCATCGTGGGCGGATAGCCCAGGGTCCGTAGCAGCGGCGAGCCAAGTCGTGTTCACAGCACTGCCACGTCCCCAAGATGTGGAGGCGGCTGCGCTCGGAGATTCCGGTATCCTCAGCGGTGCCGAGCAGGGTGTGGCGTACTTTGACCTGAGCACCACCGATCCAGATACCATCCACCGGATAGCCGCCGCCGCAAAGTCCAAAGGCGTCCATGTGTTAGATGCCCCGGTCAGCGGTGGTGTCAGCGGTGCTGAGCAGGCAACACTGTGTATCATGGTCGGCGGGAACCAGTCAGTCTATACGTCTTACAAACCGCTCCTTGAGCTGATCGGTGAAAAAGTCCTTTACTGTGGCGAACAGGGCATGGGAGCCGTCTGCAAAATTGTGAACAACCTTATTAATCTTGGCAACTACGTTTTAGTGTCAGAAGCACTGACGTTGGGACTCAAAAGCCGGTGCCCAGACAGAAATCATGTTTGAGGCGATCTCTCACAGTTCCGGCAATACCGAGTGTATGCAGGAATTTCCGGGGAGTCTGTTTCAAGGCAATTTTGAGCCGGGCTTTAAGTTGGATCTTGGTGCGAAAGATGTTGGATTGGCGACAGAACTGGGGCGTCAATTGCGCTTGCCGATGGAACTCGCCAATATCATCGAACAACGTTTCACCGAAGCGCGAAATCGAGGTTGGGGAGAGCTTGCATCGGTCTCGGTGGCACGACTCCAAGAAGAACGGGCAGATGTAAAGATTCGTGTCTAATTGTCGGGATAATAAACTTTTGGTGCGAGTCCGCAACTGTTGATAACGATAAACATGAAAAGAAGACTAGAACGCTTGAACGCAGAGAGGCTAGGAAATTCTCTTGAAAAACTTTGCGTCATTGCGTTAAGCGTTCTTAATGAACTAATGAACTGGGGTAAACTATGAAGGTCGGTACATTTATGATGCCGCTGCATCCACCGGAAAAGGATCGGACGCAGACATTTGAAGAGGACGTAGAATGTGTCATTTGGGCAGATGAACTGGGATTCAGTGAAGCTTGGGTTGGGCAGCACCATACCGCAGGGTGGGAACCGATTCCCTCCAACGATGTCTTCATCGCCCACATGTTGCCGCAGACGAAAAATATTCGCCTAGGCACCGGCGTAACTATAATCACCCAACACCATCCCGCCAACGTCGCCGTCAGGCTCGCTTATCTCGACCACCTAGCGAAGGGCAGACTCAACGTCGGTTTTGGACAGGGCGGCGTTCCGACCGATTGGGCGTTGTTCGATCTACCCGACCCACGGACGCAGGGACTGATGACCCTGGAGGCGATGGACATCGTCCTCAAACTCTGGCAAGAGGATGGACCTTTCGAGTTCAAGGGAGATTACTGGAACGTCAAGCTCGACGAAAAGGTGCCCGAACTCGGATTGGGTCAGATCCTAAAGCCTTACCAGCAGCCGCACCCGCCAATCGCGATGAGCATTGTTAGGGAAGAGTCTATGGCCGCCACAACAGGCGGGCGGCGGGGGTTCATTCCAATCAGCATCAACATGGCACCACCTCACAAGGTCAAACGACAGTGGGAACTTTATTGTGAAGGTGCTCTCGAAGCCGGGCGCGAACCTGACCGCTCAGAATGGCGCATCTCCCGCAGCATATTCGTTGGGGAATCGGATGCAGAGGCGCGGGAACATGCGCTGAACGGTGCATTCGCCGCCTCACTTGTCTACCTACGCGGTATGCTCACGCTTGCTCGAATGCAAGACCTGCTGAAATGGGATCCGGAGATGCCCGACGAAGCAGTTGACGCCGAATATATCATTGACAACATCGCCATCGTCGGCAGCGTCGACACGGTCACGCGAAAACTTCAGGATCTCTACGATCTCACCGGCGGTTTCGGCACGCTGTTGATGATTGGTCACGACTGGGACGACAAGGCAAAAATGCGCCGGTCGATGGAACTGATGGCGAAGGAGGTTATCCCTCAACTGCCGTGAAGGATGTTTGAAAGATTATATACTTGACCGCCTCTCGTCTGAACGATAGGAGGCGGTAGTGAAAAGGAGAGCAAGTCCAAATGCAATCGTTCAAGATTATCGTTGAAAAGCACACTGATGGTTATGTCGCCTATCCAATCGGTCTAAAGGGTGTGGTGGTAGGCGAGGGGGATACTTACGCGCAAGCCGTAGCTGACGTGACATCGGCGATTAAATTTCACATTGAGACATTTGGGGCAGAAGTAGCCTGAACAGGGAAACTGTAGTTTTGTGCGCTTATAGTAAACGGTAGCTTTGGGGTTATCACCCGTTTTCCATATCGCATGTTGGCAACTGAATTTCTTTCGTTCGGAGAATCGCACATGGCTGACTTCATTACTGATCGCGGCTTTAGCAACACGCCGATCTATGTGACCGACCTAGAACGCTGTCAACCCGCAGACCGGCTCTCTCCCAACGGTGGATTCCGCCGCTGGCACACCATTCCCTATCAGGCTGAAGGTTTCTCCGGCGTCATGCTAAAGGCGGGTCCGGAGACCCGTGCGCAGGAAGTTCACTATCCGTTAAGCGTGACCGGCTGGCATGCGATCTCCATCGGTATACACCCAACCAGCGAGGAAGGTCTCCCTCAAACGCTCGTCAAACTGAGCGGCGACAATACCTATTCCGTGCTTACGTGGGATACCGGCGGTCACCACCTACGGCGCAAGCAGCTCCAAGAGATCTTCTGGAAGGTTGCTGACCTGAACGGACAAGCAGTTGACTTCTGCCAACTCGCGCGCCGTATTGATCCGGGGTGACGCTTCGGTTCGGTGCAATGTGGGGGTGTACGCATCGCCTACGTCAAACTGTGTGCCGCTCACGCCGACTGAAGTTGATGCACTACGCGCCGAACAACAAAGCGGTACACAACGCCGCCTCTTCGCACATAACGACTCACACGGACCTCACTTCCTCTATCGTCCCCACTTCTGCTGAAGAATTGCGCCGCGAGGTTGAGGCGTATCGGGACACCGACTTTTCACGCATCTATTGGGAGAGCGGGAGCGGCGACGTCCTACATTACCCCACCAAAATTGGACGTACACCCGATATTCCCAATATCACAGAGTTTGCACGGGTCGGTGACCGACTCGTGGCGGAAAGCTGGCGCAGCTATCTCAAAGCGGACTCGATCCCTTCGCGATAGCACTCGAACACACACGCGCTATCGGTCTCTGAGTTCCACGCAGCCTACCGATGGCTGGATGGACCTATCCGCCGCCGCTCGATCACAATTTCCGAGAAGGGTACTACCAACACCATCCGGAGCTGCGGTGCGTCGATCGCGACGGAAAACTCTTGCCACGCCTCTCCTACGCCTTTTCGTGAGATACAGGACTACTGTCTGGCACTGCTGCGCGAGATGGCTGAATACCCGATTGATGGGATCTGCCTCCTCTTCAACCGACGACCCCCGTATATTGCGTACGAAACACCGTTGCTTGAGGCTTTTGCAGCCGCTCACGGCATTGATCCACGGGAGCTTGCGGAGACGGATCCGACATGGCTTGAGTTTCGTGCAAGTGTCATGACTGCCTTTATGCGTCGTGTGCGGGAGGAGATGGACGCGATAACCCGTGAACAAGGACGGACTCGGCGGATTGAAGTGTCCGCGTGTGTGTTGGGCTTGGAGGTGGAGAATCGATACTTCGGTCTTGATGTCGCTGCTTGGGCGAGAGAAGGGTTGATTGATGTCCTAATTCCGTACAGTCCGGCACCATTGGCAATGCCGACCGAAGAGGACACTTGGTCGAACCCATCACAACTTGAGCCTTTCACCCACGCAACTCAGGACACCGCATGCCTGCTGGCACCGAATGTCATGCCCCGCCATCAGAGTCCTGAAGACTTCCGACGAAACGCCCATATGCTCTACGGCACAGGCGCAGACCGTCTCTTCTTCTGGGATTGCGCCGGTCCGAGCGGCAGAGCAAATTACCAGCCGATGTGGAACGCTCTCCGCCGTCTTGGACATCGTGAAGAGATCACGGAGTGGATACAGGCTGGTGAACCCGCACTTGGCGATTGGACGATGCCGCTGCTCAAACTCGGTGATTGGGACATGACCGTCATCGCCCCAGGGTAGCGAAAACCGGCGGGTGGAAAGAGGAGCAGGCTATTTCTTTTCGTATTTGAACGCCTCATAAAGATCTGCCACACCTGCCTCTGTTGTGTCCCCATCGTGAGCCAAGATTCGTATTCCGAGATCCAACTCATCCCCCCGATTCAAAATCCCCTTCTCTCTCATAAATGGGTTCAACAGCATCGTTCCGTAGTCGAAACAGAACCATTCGATGCCGGCGGCGGAGGCGTGGGGAATAACGGTTATACCTGCTTTTTGATTGCCCACTGCGGGCCCCGATATATCAACCCAATCTGCAAGTTGGTTGCAGACCTCTTGCTGACCTACCCTACCTTCCGAATCAATTAGCTTGCCGCCGTTAGTGGGACGCAGCTCATCCGCCATCCGAATCGTAAAGTAGGCGTGGCGCGTGGTGCCGATGGTGACATCCCAGTCGGTTGGTCTCAGTTGGGACCGGACGTCGATAATGTTAGCAACCTCCCCCGGATAGATGTCGATAGTCCGCGTTTCTCTCAGCCAATACTCGACGACCAATGTCCGCCGGCGCACCCCACTCTTCAGGACCCTGCCACTGGATGGTCTGCACAACTCGGAGATGATTCTCGGAAATCTCCTCGCTGTCAACCCCCACGACCCAAATTCTACCCGGTGCGCGCCCTTGGAAGATATTGTTGACGTAGAAGTTATATGTTGCCTCCTCTGTTAACGTGGAAATCGCTGGAGACAGTGGCGGCAGCTGGACAAAAAAGACATCGGCACTGACGGTGATTGAATTGTGGTGTGGGTGGTCCACCGGGCTTTCAGAAGTCAGGGATACACCCGCAGGGGAGTATACCGGGAACAGATAACACCGGTGAATGCCTTGAGTCAAATCGGTTATCGCTCGTCCCTTCCACCGTATCTTGACGCTTGTAAACCGGGGCGCAATTGACTTGGGTTCGGGACGTTGATGTATATCGACGTGGAAATGCTCCATTTTTTATCCTCTCTGTTTTCGGTTGAGTTATCTTGCTCAACTACGCTCATTATCTACTCAGTAGGGGCATTTATAGTAAACGCAAGAAATTAGTAGACATTTACCAATAACTCCGACCCTAGCGAAGTTTCCAAAGTCCCCCTGAACCCCCTGATAAGGGGTGATGGCAAGTGCGCTCTGCTTGACAGGGGGGTTGGGGATTTAGGGTTGGCTGTGCATTGGAAGTGTCTAAGTAATTCTAAAATCTACCATAATTCTCCTGTAGGAGGGATCTCCGAATCCCGACACATTGCTCAGACAACGAGAAAACCGAAAACTGAATAGCCCTAATCTACTCAGGTGGAATCTCTACCGTCTGACCAGTCTTGGACGATTCAACCGCGGCGTCGGTGATCCGGATGGAGTTCAAGTTATCTCGCCCGGAAACTTGGGGTTCGACACCTGCTGCGAGTGCACGCTGCATCTCTCCCATCGTACCGCCCCACGCATCGGGGAACCAGCTGCCGTGGATGTTAAACACCTGTCGCTGATCAGGGGTCCTCTTTGAACGAGATGGTGAGTTCCGTCCGCCCATCTCGGAGGGAACCATATCGCGCAATCGAAGCGGAGGCGTCTGTGCCATCAATATGCCACAGATACGGGCTATGGTGGAGTGCCGGTGCGATGTTGTTGAAATGCAACGTTGACATCAGGTCAGCCGGTTCATATTCGCAAAGAATCGAATAGATCATCGGATCTATCGCGTTCTGACCGGGGACGCGGGTGGTTGTCGTTTTCACCCATCGCGGTGTCCGACCGGTAAAGTAACGGGAGAGATCGACGTAATGAATCCCGTTATCTATAATGGTAAGTCAGGAGTCGTCACCACGTGGAATCAATACATCTTGAAACTGGCGGTGGACGTGCAGAACGCTGTATAGGTGACCGAGGCAGCCGCGATCAATCATACCTTCATCGCAGTGTGATACGGGTGCCCAGCGCGCTTGCTGGTTGATCATCAGTGTGATGACGCCTCCTCACATATCTCTACAATGCGTTCTCGCTTCCGCCAATGTCGGTCTGCAGCGGCTTTTTGAGAGGAATATGTTTACCGGCGGGTGCCAAACTGTTCCACCGCCGCCAAGCGATCTTCTGGGCGCACCGCAAGATCGATATATCAACTCACGCGATCGATCACCGCTTCAATCTCGGTCGTCCAGAAAGGGATACTGTATTCTTCAGCAACCGTTCGTGCTTTCTCCTCAATAACGTCGCAAGCTGCAACAACGCGGTATCCGAACTTGCGATAGGCGGGGAGATGCGTGTTCCGGGCGATGTTCCCGCAGCCAACCATGGCGATCCCGTAGCGTTGCACAATCTCCTGTGGTGGTGCCGCTGGGAGATAATCGTCTGGGTATAGTTCAATCTGTTTCATAATTTAAGTCTCCGTGCGGTTAAAAATTGCCCTTTTGGGACGAGATGTGTTAAAATCCAGATAGGTTCGGTTTGAGATGACTCCGTGCATGACAGGGAGGCATATCACGTCTCACAGTTTTCCAAAAATATGCGTGCTGCTTCCAGTGCTTCCTCCGGTGTACGGATCTGTCCCTCAAACTGGAGGTCTTCAACATGCTGTAAAATGCGCCCAATTTTGACACCGGGCATCACCCCAAATGTTTGTAAGATAGCGTCGCCGGTGATTAATCTGCCTCGCTCCATCATCGGACCAATTTCGTTATAATAAAAATCCGCAATTTGCTTCAGCGCTGCTTCCACTATTGGTGGTGCATTGATCCGGCGTATGTTCTTTCCAGATGATCGAATATTCGCGTAGGATATCAAAAGGATTCCTAACCAGTCATCTCCCGCGCGTCTTAGGAAGGAAGTCATCGACCGACGCGCTATCTGACCATTGGCATCTATCAGGTCCATCAGGTGCAGGCGATTTTGCACAAGGCTACGCATCAACTGTGTGGCTTTCCTGCCGAGCCGCAAGCGATTGGTTGCTTGAACAGCCGTTTCTATCCCGCTGTTGCGCAGTAGCAAAGCTAGCTTAACAATCTGTCGGCGGCACAGATCGTGCGTAAGTTGTTCATGCAGGTATGCCTCAATTTGTGGACGGTACGATTGTAGTGTATCCGGTATCGGTTTTATCTCAAACATTTTGAGGGCACGCAGGGAACGGTCGAGCGCGTCCTGATACAATCCACGTACCTTCTCAATTTCCGGGATAATTTGTGAGAGGAGACGTGTTTCGTCCATGCGGCGCAAATAAGCGGTCGCGTTTTTAACATTTAATATCTTAATCAATTCGTCACGGATGCGTTCGGACGAAACCTGTGGCAACCGATTTTTGTGCTGACGAATGAGATCGGTTGTCGCTTCAGGGATTTCAAATCCTAACTGCGCCGAAAAACGATACACTCTCAGCATCCGAAGCGGATCATCGATCACCACCCCTTCGCTTGGAAAGCGCAACGTTCGCTCTTCAAGGTCCGAGAAACCGTCACACGGATTAATCAGATTCACCTCCGATTTCGTCAAGAGTGATGAAAGATCCAGTGCCATCGCGTTTATTGTTAAATCACGCAGGCGCAGATCTGCTTCCAAAGTCTCGGCGCGAAATCCGGCAAAATCTAAGGTGAGCCGCGTCTCTCTGATGACAATCCGCGCTGTCGGTGGTTGTTCTTCCAATTTTACAAACGCTTCGCCGATTTTAT